ATATATTGGCACAAATCGATCTTGTCATGATTATGATGATGAATTATTTATTAATATAAATTAATTATATGAATTAATTATATTAATTAATAATATATTATATTATATTATTTATTATATTTCATTAATTTATTTATAAATATATATCGGTCTTTGTAATTTTTTTTATATAACATAGATTATTTTGATCGGACGTGATTTCTGCCCTTGGTTCATCGATAAATATGTAATTAACAAATGATTTCCGTCGCAGCTATGACATAATACGTATTTTCAGCGTATATATATTTTCATAGTCGCGATTGCAAATTTTTAGCATGACAGATAACATAAAAAGAGAGAAAGAGAAAGAGAGACAAGATGAATCACTCGTCTCTTCTCAAGTATGCAAAGATATCTCGGAGGTACGCGCGTATGACTCATCGACCTGACAACTCGTACGATCACCTGCGCACAGGTATGAAGCAAACTCGTATACTAGCTCTACTTATGTGAAAAAAAAATTTAATCAACAAGAGAGGGACGGAGAACCTATTTCGCAAAATCGCGATGATTCAAGTCATGTAATTTATAGGTAGTGGCTTAAAAAAAATCTATTTCTGATATAATTTCTATTTATATAATTATTTATTAGTTTTATTGTAAAGGTACAAGATTAGCACTTAAAAAATTACTAATAAGAAATAAATTCATTATCTTTCCCTATAAATTAACATCTGATCACTAATTGAGATATCGTCGATACAAATAATTCTTTCATAGACGTAAATATTCGAGATAAATGCACGATGTATTATCGTCGAGAAATTCAAGAGCGATAACGATAGTAATTAAATTGCTCAGTGTGTGACGAGGTAAATTAATAGAAAAATCTCTAATGACTCACTCGCAATCAGTTTCTCTCGTCCACGCCTCGCGAATCGTCCGCTAACGAGCATCTTCATGTTAGACGGATCATCTTTTTCCGCGAAAGAATCACAGCGCCCGGCTGTAAATAGCGACACGAATGAAAATATTATTCCCCTTCTCATGCTCGCGCGTCTGCCTTATCACCGTCTCGCAGAAAATTACGTACACAAGTACTCCTCCGATAAGAAACCGTGAATCATAGCAACGAGATAGAGTTACGCGTGTGACCGGTTATTATGAGACTCGTTATGTATATATAATATCATTACGTTGGGTTACTTATATTACACATAATCGATTAAAAAAAATCAGTTCAGAAATATACAGAAAGAGGAGAAGATTATTACGATATATGCTATTTGCGTTATTCGAATGACTGTTGCATCATTAGTTTCCCGATGCATTGGTTTCGTCGAGCGTTCAAGTTTAGTTGCAGAGTGCGTATTGACTAGACTGGTCGATTGAAGTGCACCTCGATTTAGACGCAACCGCAATTTAGAGTGCAACCGCGAGGAAGTTGATGCGCTTTTAAGTCTGTCCAGACACGCAAGACGATTAAATTCAATTTCTGTAAGAGATCCCGCAAATATAATGTTCGAAGCGATAATTCATATACATCCGCGCGCGGATATATCGCATCTTTAATTTTTTCAAGTATGAAAATCAAAAACTGCAACTAATAACAAGTAAATAATTATCCGTGAAATAATTATCAGTAATTTTTAGAATTAAAATAAATTAATAATTATTCTAATTTATTATATTTTATTCAATATATTTCTTATATAATTTTATTCTTTATTATATGCGTTTATTCCAGTTATTATTTACATTCTTTATAGATTATTTATTATACAGTATTGCGCGATCGAATTCTTTTGCGAAAGAGAGAAAATAAATTCTCACGAACGCGATGTAACCGTGAAAGGGATAGGAGGGATATCCACGTCAGCTGATGCGATATATCGAAGAGATAATTATCTAGGAATGAAAATTCTCAGGACGGTAAATGCCTCGCGCGCAACAACGGAAAAAAAGCAGGTATATCTCCTTGAGTTCCCTCGAGTTATGTCCGGCATCCTAATAGAGCAACTCCACCTGTCTGCTTGCGCGATCTTTAGATTGGCGGGAGAGAGGTTCGATGCATCGGATGCTATGCGAACTATTTAGACCAATCGATCCGAGTACCATATGTATACTTAGGTATTTTATTTTTCATTTTTCTAGCGAGATTTTTAATTTTCGACTCAATTTTCTCGCGCCAATATTTATGCCAATTTTTGGCTCCACACAGCTACCATTTGACAGCTCGTTACAGAAGTTTGACAGCTTATAATTATTATTATATCGAGATTTGGTAACCAGAGTAATTTTTAAAAAAATTTGCAAATAAATTATATTTAATATATTTATGTACATATTTCAGTCAAAAATATTCTGTCAAAAAAAAAAAGAGACGTTGATTGTGTAAAGATATTTATTTAGGTATTGATATCGATGCGAGATATTTAAAGTAGACGTAAGTTAATAGTTGTAAGTCATATTTCCGGAAGGCGAATGTTTCATCTTCGTAGATGAGTCAACTCTATTTTTGAGGGGCTTAATTTTTCTTTCATTCGTTTGTACATTAGGTGACACTGAGATATCTTCCTTATGTTTTTGTCGAAATAAGAAATTGCTTCCTGGTAGACTGTAATATTAGAAATCTCGTTGGACAAACGGTGATTTACTTACGACTTCCTAATCGTCGATCGTGCTTCAACAAGAATCATGTCATCCTTGACTTTCGAAAGTGAGTCATTAAAATAGTCGCGAAAAATATGACACATATTTGTTCGTCTTTCTCAAGTCCAAGTTCAGGGTTGCCACTTTTTTAAATTGTCAATGGACGTTGTAAACAAGCTGAAACTTTCTCTCTTTCTCTTTTACATACACACACGCATATAGATAATACAACTTTTCATAACATTTATATAAATTTAATAAAGAGAAAAAAATACATTTTATAAATTAATAAATAAATGTTAATTTTTATCATTATTTTCTTATAACAGAATGTACATATTTTTTTATTGAATTCTTATTAAAAATAATAAAACTAATACAAAAATAAAAATATTAATATATATTTGATCTACATTAAATATTTAATAATTATCCTTTAAATATCTGGGAAATATTTTATTTTTATCAGATTTTTTATTTTAAATGGAGAGAAATATGTTCTGTGTTGAAGATAAACATTTAAAAATATGTAAAAATCATATTTTTATGATTGAGAAATTTATAGAGCCACGAAACGCGAGAAGTGTCGAAATAGCAATTGCATCATCGATGATGCATCTCGCATTGACTATCCCGCTTTTATTTGTTCAATTTAATGGCACGCGGTAGTACGATCAGTCTCTTACATCATCGGTTGAATGAATGGACCAGTGGCTGTTTGCGACTGCGCGTAGTAACTACGTTTAGTTAATAAGAGGAAACGTGGATTGTTTGCGGATATTGATGCTTTATATAGCTTTATATAGCTTTATGTAGCGCGTGTTGATTACGTGTCGCCGTCGATTCGACACGGATTGCATCGACAATATAAATGACCAAAGAAATAACACGTTAATCGGCCCGCGATTCCAGGTATCCGGGAATAAAACATGATTAACGAGGCGCCGCTCGTGTTTATGGCAATGCCATATTGGGAATCATGCGGAAATCGCGTTTCAATTTTCAATGTACTTATATGAAATTGCAAATTGCGGGTTGTGTATATTGAAAAAAAATAGAAAAATGAATTAATAAATTAAAGATATGAAAAATTAAATTATAGAAGAGAGTAAAGATTATATCATAACTACAAACGTAAAAATAATAAGTATACAAAATTCGAGAAACTATATCTGAATTTTCTTATGAAAAAATTGTGAGGTAAAATTTGTATGAAAAAAATTATAAAAAATATAAAAAAATGACTGGGAGAAAAAAAGTTGAGTTCAAAAATGCTTTTAATTTCTTTAACATACAAATATCTTCTAATTAAAAAAGTCCCACTTTCAGAGGTCTTTTATCAGGCCGCGAATCCGACAGGCGTTCGGAAAACTTCTTCGACGAAGCGACCGCATATTTGCCCGTATTTACACATTGAATACCTTTACCGAGAATATCGTCATTCTCTTCTCTTCACTCTTCAGCTACACATGCGGTGAATCATTCGCGCACGTACGATTCTCGGAAGAAACCGCCTATTACGTGTGTCGCCATTATGACGGCCCCTCCATTCAGACTGGTAGATTCAGGCAAATTTACAGTCCATCAAAATGCAAATACAATTGAAAGATTAGCTGCGATAGTAGTACATTCATGATTACATCATCACCGAAAGAATGGACCAACGGTTACTCATCCGAAAAGAAGATGGAAAAGATAGAGAAAATTCAAAATTCAGTTTTATCTCGCTTAACAATTAATATTAAAATTAAATAAGGGGGAAAAGAGAAAAAACTATATAGGAAAAAATTTATCGTTACTTACAATTTTTTCACAATTTTATAAAATAGTGAACCCGTGTCTTTCATATTTCTATTAACTGTTTTTATACAGTTTCTTGCTTTATCTTGTGAAATAAATCGAAGAATAGTGTTCAGGTGTCTCTATCTCGAATCTGTCACTATTATCTCACCTCAGGTGACATTTCGCTCTCCAAACGATTATCTCTTTCTCTTCCTCCTCTCTAATCAGCTGATCATTGTCACGACGACAGCGGTACCTTCCTCGTCATCGTTAGTAGACGCGCCGACTCTGTTGACGACGAAAGTGTGAATCATCGGTCTGATGATACGATATCAAGAGATCGCGCCTACAAATCGACAGTGCACTCGTGAACTCCGTGCAGTGAACAACGTATATTATATTTTCACGAGACTGTTTTTTTCGCGAACGTGTTCATCTCTAAATGTCGCAATTTTGTCATGCAGACATGGTTTTCTCTTTATTTATTTTTCACTAATTAAATATTTGAAAGAAAAAATATATATATAATAATTATATTATAATAGTTAAAATTTATCTTAAAAGAAACCGATAATTAATTTAATTAATAATTAAAAATTTTGTGGCAATTGTGATTTTATGGCAGTGCAATATTGTGTTGTATTAATTAAATATTGCCAACGTTCGCGATGGATAGTTGTTCGGAATCGCAGCCTCGCGTATCATAATGATTGTGTGAAAATCCGCGTCTCATTGTCGCATGTAAAAAAAAACAAATATATTCTTGAGATGAAAACGCATCCTTGACGCGTGCATTCTTGTATGCAAGACTCGTCGTTGGTTATAGTATCGAAGACTACGTGATTTCCTCGTGGTAAACAAAACAGAATATTTTGTTTTCTTCATTGATCGGATTGTATGCAATTTTATTGAAATAGAATACATTATATACTATTTATATGTATTCTTTACGCGATTAGTACAATTGAACAGAGTTTCACTGACACTTTTATCGAGACTGTATGTCGATCAAGAATCGCGATATGCTCGTGATAATTATAGATTAATTTCTTCGAAGCACTTGAAAAAACGTTTACTCGCAATTGCAGGAATTTCTTGTTTGTACATAAACAAGTCACTGTATTTAAACAGTTGTTTCGCGACGAATTATTGCTATACCAAAATCCAAATATTGAACTCGTCAATCTTTAATCTATAATGATAGTTTCGTTAATTGTAAGAGAGAAAATAAAATTAATTTTTTATAATTTTTATTAAAATTATTTTATTTACTCGTCTTTTTAATTATGAGGCGTATTTTCTTTTCAATTTTTCGCGTTCAAAAATTTTAAAAATATTTTAGCTCTTCTATTTTTGGAATGTTATTAAGATTAATCATACGTTACATATTTAATCTCGAAATACCGGAACTTGCTCGCGATAACGACCTTATCGTCGATTATATTCTTTGCTCGTATGCCGATAAAACATCATCTTAGGAGTTAATCGAGCAGATTCCCGCGATCTTAAAGTCTCGTCCAATAGACGTTCCGAGAAATTACGAAGGATCGAATATCGGGTTAGATCGATAACATGATTTATATAGAACGTTTTATCGTCATTCCTCCGTTCGTGTCAATAAATTACAACGTACTGAGATATCTTTTTATGAAAAATTATTCGATGCGTTGATCTTGCGTGTCGTGGGAAACTTGTCTCGCCGCATTTTCTTACGTCAACGCTGATATTGATATAAATCGCGCTGGGACGAGCTATCGATTAATTAAATTTTAACATTCAATTAAAATTAAAGATCAGAAAAACCTAGATAATTATTTGATATAATTTTATTATTTTTAAATCAAACTTATAATATATTTTCTTATATATTTATTTTTTATTATTACTAATGAGGAAAAAATTTAAATAAATTTTAATAATAGTAATCTTATTGTTAGTATCTATATAAATAAATTTTTATTTAGGCCGAGAATAAACGTTAACAAAAAACAACTGTGAACCAGTGTGAAAATCATCGCAAATTTCTTCGAGTGTGTTTTATTCGAAAATACCATTGACCGATTCATGAATGAGCGTCGATAGAGGATTAAACATGCTGCACAAGCATGGAAGCAATTCACATGGTGCTGTATATAAGATCGGCAGAAGCGCTTTTCTAAAATCAGTAAGTCATCAGAATTACGTATATTACTTATCGTATTTTCGTTACTCGACATTTTTTCCAAATCAGAAAAAAAATTATCCGACTACGAGAAATTTTAAAATGATTTCTCTTATTTAACCCGTTCGAGATTTGTTCCCTTTTCGTATATCAAGTGAGCACCGCTGCCGATGCAGTTTACGATTCAATCACGACGTCACATCACTGCGTCACGATCCGTTACAAACGAGCGAGAGAGACGAGAGTATGTGACATCATCGTGCTAAAACGACGGGCGATGTCACATATGATCGACCTCTCTACGTAGCTGCGTCTTCGCGAGGGGGAGTTTAATCCCCCCGATGACAGCGGCCGACACGTGCGAGCGACCACGTGTACTCGCGTGCGAATGCGCGGGCAGATCGGCTCGAACGATGACTAATCGTTGTTGATTGCCGGCGAGTTCTCCTCGCGATCGAACTCGCGTCCGGAGCATATCGATACCCGATACTCAATCGCGTTTCCCCATCTATATCCTGCATCTGAAATTAGACGCAGGCATATTTAGGGATAAAGGTGAAGAGTATAATTAACATAGGCTTTTTACTTAAGTATACGTGCATCGCAATTTATGGATTGCCAATGCAAATAAAAGTCGTCACTTTTTTTTTACAAATGAATCCTAACAATTATGATAAAATTAATCATACCTTACGTCATTTTTACAAATGTAAATTGTATTATTACGAATGAATGCTGCAAGTTCTTCAATGAATAAATTGAGATGATTCAACACGAATATAAATATATTCGTATATCGTATTTTGATTGATGGAATATTTGTTATGATGAATGCAACGTATATATGTAATGATAATATGTTAGATTTTTATTCACAAGGTTTTTTTCAAGAAGCTGTGAAGAAAAAAAACCATTTGTTTCATGCTATGCTTATTAATAATAATGAGTGCCATTATCACATTTTTTACGCATTTGAATTAGTTGCAGCAAATTATTTTTTTCTTTATAACAAATATCTATAAAAATATTAAATGATTACATGATTTATATTATTTCATATTACTAGAAAATTACAAATTTATTTAGATAAAAAGAGGAATAATAGAAATTAAAAAATTTATTATTTGAAATAAAATTAAGATGTAAATAAATTCTAATTTAGCGTGGTAACATTTTAATTTACACATGAATTAAGAATTAGAAAGATAATATTTCCGAAATCTTTTTAAAATCCTTATACAATTTTTTAAAATTATATATTGTAGCAATTTTTAAAGAACAATATTTTATTAAAAATAATACTCTCAAGAAATAATAAAATATTTGCAAAAAGGTGTGATACGTATTATGATGGACGATAGTCTCTCAAAGCTTGGAAATGTTTTTTCGCATGTTTCGTAATCGGGATTTTACAACGCATTTAAAACGCACTTCGCAAATTCTTCGAACCATCTTGGACATTCTTTACGACAGCGTCGCGACGCAAGTAAAATTTTACAAACGTGTTAATAGTCACTTCTCAGTAGTGAATCGTCTCGGAATCATCTTGGCTTTCATTTTCATTCTTCTTGGAACAATTCACGAGCTTTTCTTGAGTATCTACGTTTTTTCTAATAAGTCAATTACTTAATAAAAGCATTTTTCTTATACCAATAAATATCTTATACGTATAAAAAAACCATTGTATAATATTTTTTTCTTGAAAGAAGTCATCAGATATTTAAAAAAATAATTTTAAAAATAAAAACTTATATTTTAAAACTTTTTATCTATTTATCTATATTTATAGTAATTTATATTTTATGAAACTCGAATTTATCGTAACTCTTATTTATGATGATATATTCTTATTTATATCGTTTATGCATTCTTATTGTCTTTTGACTATTGCGTGAGCGCCGATAATAGCGATGATAACATCATATTTATCGCAAACAGCGTTATCAAGTACGATGAAGTTTGCGTGTATGCTTCACGGTGCGGAAATGCCAGGTGTATATTAATAAGTATGTCAACTACTTTCAGCCACGACGCGGCTATATATTCTATTTGTTGAATTTTTATTATCAATAACGATGAATTTGTGCGTGAAATGGTGCGTGTTTCGTCTTTCTTGAACGCACGTTTGTATCAATGATGTTTCGGCAAAACATCAAATAATTAGTCAGTTCATTGTCCACTCATCGGATTATTCGAAAGAATTTCTTGTTTATTCGTGTCAATCTCAAATCATCTGCCAATCAATCGTCAAATCTTTGTGTTTGATCGCATTTCTTATCGAAAGTTTAGCAAAAAAGACAGACATTTGTTTCTAGCAAAAGATATCAAGAAAGTGACATAAGACTTTTTGCGACAGATTTATTAATTCGTAAGTATCATAAATATATCTGAAATTTTATATAAGAAAAAGATAAGGAATAATTACAAAGCCTTAATTTTGAATGCTTCTTAGAGATAATCGAAGATAATTTTTTATAACACATTTCGCTAATTATACATATTACATTTTACATTTTATATTTAATTTTATTTTTGAAAAGAGGAAAATAAGAATGAAAATGATAGATTTAAACGTGCCTTTTATTGGCAGCACCGAAATAATTAGATAATAGACAAGATGATATAAGAATGATTATATTATAATTAACATAATAAATTTTTAATTTATGATAGCGTATTCAATCTTTGCATTTTTTAAACATAAAATATATAGTATCGAATAAGACTAAATACATTAAATAAGAAAAAAATCATACAAAAATTAAATAAATCATCGAGATGAAATAAAATTTTTTATTTGCTTTAAAATTAAAAACTCGAAAGTCTCATTTTTAAGACGATTATAAACGCGTCCAGAATTTCTATCGTGATATAATCATAACAGCTGGCCTCTTTTATACCGCGCATAACCGGTGGCACATATACGTGTGCATGAAAACGCGTTTCTTCTTGCATCTTGACGTTCGGCACAAGGCACCTTTGTTGAAGACATTACAAGTGTAATATATTACACGTGTAATATATCGCGTAGGAAAAATTTTACTAGTAACGCCAAATGATGAATAATATTTTAACGACGATTTGCATTCGAAATGATCAACAAATAAAAATTCACATAATTGCGTACAAGAATATCATTGCTTTTTTCCTTCTAAAAAATTTTTAAAAAATTTCTAGAAAACTTTGTGCTTATCGATCGTCATTTCCGTACAATATACAAAATTATAAAGTAGAAAAGTTTTAAATATAATTCGTTAAAACAGAAACAGTTAATATACGAAAGTTGAATTAACTTAAAAAAAATTAAAAAATAAATAAAAATAAAATTGTTTCAACAATAGAGATAATTTTTACAAGTCAAAATAGTCAAGAAGAGAACAAATTTTCTTTTCTGTTCAAGCCAAATTTTTTGTTAATCTAATATAATTTCGTGTGTATGTTATATTCGTCTAAATATTTGATAGTAAAATCTGCGATTTTATTTAACTCTAATTTCCACTTTGGATTTTTTCGAAAGACTTCGCATCGCGATCTTTTATAATATCGACGATTACTCGAACAGCTTTCAGCTAATGAGAGAGTTGAGCAAAAGCGTGAGCAACAGCTAAGCAGCGTGTTCTAAATTGTTATTGCCGTCGGGCACAGGAAAAAGCCACTCGCAAACGCTATTTACGGCGGCCGTAAATCAAACGGCGCCGAAGAGCGCGTGGCTGCTGCGACGCGACGCGACCAGAGGCGTGAAATATATTCGCGTGTAGTTCGTTCGAACCATCGAGACCCTCCGTCGTGCTCGTATATTTATTCAACGAGTCCCAACATAGGAATCGTTGCTTTTGAACTTCGAGGAGGGACTCTCGAGATTCCAGGATCGAAATCGCTGACTGATTCTAATCCTCGAATCTCCTCGATCGGAATTGGAGATGGAATCGTCGAGTCGAGGTTGAATTCCATCACGAAATAATAAATTCCTAGAATTTTGTTGACTAAACATATTAACGGAAAATGATATAAATTATAAATGAAGGTTTCGAGGAAATTATATTAATAATAATATTCGCAAAAATATGTCGACAGAGTTATGTCAATTACAATTAAATGGAATATATTTTTAATAATGCATGATGGAGTTTTCGTTATGCGCCGCGAGTACACCCGGTATAATTTCACCGAAATTCCGCGGCTACGCGTTTCCTTGCGCACCTCGCCGAACCGCATTCCGCTCTTTGCGTCTCTCTTTTCCGCAGATGGAATACCAGATTTCTTTCTTCGCGGGCGATGCTTTGCGGTCGATACTGATTTATGGTAGTTGAGTTAAGCGATTTTCGTGCAAGGATACCCTGACAAAGTGGCTGCGGGTGATTATTTATATTCTTCCGAGGAGAGAGAGAGAGAAAAAAAAAGATAAAGATGCAAGTAAAATGAAATGAATCTTTTAAAAGTAAAAATTTTGAAGTAATTCTGAGATAACAAAATACATATAGATGAAAGAGGAAAATTGCCTCATGTTGTGATATCTTAAAGAAAATCTGACTTAAGAATTTTTTCACCGATGCGCTTTGTATTCTTCATCGAATAGAAGATAAGGAAGATCCGGCATTCCTTTAGAACATACTCGTAAATCAGTCAAAAAGACTGTCACGTGCGGGTCGTGTATTGTCTCATTGAAAAATACTTAATTATTATTGTAATTTTATTCTTAATCTTGTTCTCTTATCGGAGTGTATTTAAATAATTATGTCTATTCTCTTTTCTCTCCAACAATGTAGTTTTTTTTCTTTTTTTTAAATTTGTTGAATGCCAAGCAGGTTTTATTTAATTTCCTACAAAATAAAAAAAATTGTAACTATACAATGAATGATAATACGACGAATATGAACGATATTAATACGATAATAAAATGAGTATATATGTATATTGTGTAATATGTGAAGTCACATTATAAATATTGCACATTCCGCATTTATCATTCCGCGGTAAGATCAATGAAAGACGATGTAGAAAAATGAATGAAGCGGCAAGTTCTTCGATGATTCTGCTAGAATTGCTCCCTCGTAAACTTTCTACCACAAGTGGCAAAGCACTTCAACAGATGCACTGTCAGCCAGAGAGATAGGGAAAGAGACGAGTTGCTTACATAACGTCGCAGCGACAACGCTGACAAAAAGCGTCGTCTCTTCGTCACCGTCGTTCTGGGAAACGAGCATTTATTGTTGTCCCACTTGTGCGTGCAATTTCTCGTCTTAATCGACATCAAAAAATCTATTGTTTTTACAAAACGATTAGCTTCCCGGAATTGCGGTATTAATTAGAACATACCTTCAACTCTCTCGATATAATCTTTTATTTTAATTTTCTTTAAATGCGCGCGTAAAATTTTATTAATTCCGCGCACTTCTTATACTAGATTAACCTTCGAATATATTATATATTTTTATACATAAATCAACACGTCTAATGAAGAGAAAAGAAAATTTTATTTTATTTATCTTTTAGAATTATTTTCCATTTTTGCAGCAAGATTCTATTCTAACTATCTATTTAACCTTGTTTTATATAATTCAGCTCTGCTAATATTTTATCGCTTAATTTATCTAATTGATGTTCTATTCAATCTCTAACATAATTATTCTATTATTCAATTTAAAACTTTGTTCTGAACGAGAGATAAAAACCAGACAGAGTTCGTAAACTCTTGTCACGCTACCATTTAAATCTCCTGTGTCATTTTAACTCGCCGGCGCTCACGTGCGCGCGCGGCGGCGCGGCGTCACGTGACGCGGTCACGTGACCCTGCGCTTCGCGCCGCGCGAGCGGTGACGTCGCTCCTCAGTGCGAGCGCGACCGGCGCGCGCGATGTATCTCGATTGTGGGGTTGTGTTGTTTTCGTTCCTCGTGCCAGCAGTCGTCGCCGGTACGCAACGTGCTACTATCCGTTCGCGCAACCTCGGCTCTCTCGTTGCCGACCCGCCGTAACAACGACAACGTGCAGTCCATTTGTCCTCGGGATCTCTTCTCTCCTCCTATCGTCGTCGATCTCTCTTGTCGCCGCCACGGACGAACTACGTGTGGACTACGTGGCGAACGGACGCCAGCGAGTGTCAGCTGGGTGCGCATTTTTATCTTTCTTCTCTCGTTATTTCATCGTCGCGTCGCAGGATGATCAGATAGATCCGAGGAAGAAAATTAGAGTTTTCTCTGATACTCCTGAAAATTCGAGCGTTTAAAAATATTCGAGATAATCGTCAGTCTAGACAGGTTTTTTCCTTGTGTTATATATATGATTAGGGATCATGGAATTACTAGGGACAGTCTCATGCTGCACGCTTTCGAAGACAGACGATTCGTTTTCGTTTCTCTCTTACTCGACTGCGTGTCAGCTGTTCGGGAACTGCACATTAAGCGGTCGTTCGCGCGTACAAAGATACGCGGTTGGACGCTCGCCTGCAGCTTCCGGTTGGTTTCCTCGTAAATTCAGAAAACCAAACCTAACCTGACACTTTATTAAACCTATTGGTCGAAATTTTAGTTTTTTCTGTACTTTTTTAGTCTATTAATTTTTTTCGTCAATTTAAATTTATTAAATATGTAGTCTTTAGAAAGAAAGAGAAAAGAAAATAATAAAATTGGTTTTAAGACTTGATTTATAGGTACACTTTGATATTTGTAGCTGAAATATTTTAACCCACTTGATCGGAAAGACTCAAGATCCTTGACTTTAAAGATGTACCACTTTTGGAGTATGTACTTTCTCTCTCTGTTTTTATTAGTTTTGAATATTCAAAATGATTCTTGTTGACCTCTCTCAATGCTGAGTGTTTACAGAGTTATGTTTTTTTATTTAATAAATTTAATTTAAATACTTTATTGAATAATATATACAGGTATTATACGTACGTACAATAGTTAAATGTATTTGTAATTATATACAATATTATGTGACAACAATAATACAATATTGAAGCACAATAATAGATAATATTTTAGAAGCTAAGGGATTAAGCTAATATTATTGAATCGGGTTTGTTTTTCTTCTAATCGAAAGAGAATAAATCGCTATGCTACGCGATGCTAAATATTATCTCGAAAGATGCCGGATATTGCGTCTCTCGCATATACACGCGTATTGCACGCGCCCACGCCTATGCAAATCCCGCGGAATTATCGAAAGAGTGCATGCATGGAATGTAACGTATCGCCCATCCACGCACGTCTCGCGATAGTTGCACTTGTCCCGATTATATAGTTGCTGCATTCGAGTCGCAAAACGAGCTTGAATGCAGTGCAACAATACTATGGTGGCACATCACGCTGTATTTTGACACGTTCGACTAATTAAACATTATTACGTGTTGCATAAAGTTTATTGCGTAAATAATTAAATGGCAATTTAATTATTTAGTAATTAAAATTAATGAAAATGCCGAATTTATTAGATAATATCATTAAGTGTGTATGTCTGTAAATCGCCCAACATTTGAACGTGAAGTTTATTTCTTTTTATTGTGTCACGTATTATATTCTCCGCATTTCCAGGAATATTAAAACACTCGAAGTGTTCGTTTTGATGGCTGCATTATTTACATTGTAAAATTACTTATGTAATGTGTAACTGCGTACAGATGATGCAACCGCAGAATCTAAGAATTTCATAAAAAGAAAATAAAAATAGATATTGTAGAGCGGTTAATTTCGAAATCGATTTTACAACATCTTTGATAATTAATTATTATTTTCTTTGATCTTTAATTTATACAGAATATCTTAAAATAACAGACATTTAGCTCCGATTACGGAGAAGAGAAGAGATGAAAAAAATAGTTTGATTTATGAAATGATTTATGAAATACGCTCATTTATACGCATATTACATTCATGCTTTATTTGCATATGGCTTGGTATATTAATTATCCGCGAAAGAACTTTCTAATGAGAGATCATTCTGGAATCGTTCCACGACATGTATTCGCGTACAAGCTATTACACAATTATCGGACGAGTTTAATCGAACATCCAGCGTTTTATGTCGACCTCGAGCGGCCTCGAGCATATCCGATAGCATTTCCATCAACGAGCTTAGTATCCCGCTGTTACAGCGACTGGGGAATCACACTACGCGAGAGTTGAAAGCCTGATCACCTTAATAGAATATCAGGCGAGATCCGGGTTCGATCGTGCGTTTCTCGAACTTTTTATTAACGAACGTGTGGGAGCACACTTTGCATATTTCGCTCGTTTAAGCAAACGCATAGTTTTGTAGTTGCAACACGTAGTTCCGGTCAACGCCGATCAAAGCCTGTTCCTCGAGTCTTGTCTGGTTTCGCCTGGTCTGATCTTGCCAAAGTTCGGCACTGCCAATCACTTCTCAGAGTTTATTATTAGGCCCGATGCAGACGAGATGCAGCTTTGATTAGCGCGCAATTAAAACGCTCGTGCACATACGTTTGTCAATATATATTTGTGTTAGAAATCAAATGAAGAAACATTTTTATTACGCATTTTTATTTTACTCAAATATATACACAGAGAGGAGAATTTTTCCTTAAAATTAACCCTGAAAATCATGGTAATCGTAAAGGCAATATATGACATTGGAAGAATTTTATAAGAATTTCATCTACCACAATAAGATATAAAATAAGTTTAATTAATTTTATTACGTACATAATTATTACTATTTTTTATTGTGTTTAATATTAATAGGGAAACTCTCTTAAAATTCTTTCAATATACAAAATTGTCCCACGATTTTCAGGGTGAATTCTAAGAGAAAATTATCTTGTAAACATATATAAATATTTTATATATTCTTCGTGTGCGTGATATTTCATTAACGATGCGTCGATATGTCTGTTACAGATGTCGGAGTTTCCAGTGGACGGAAGCGAAAACGGGGACATGCAGACCGTCATGGAGAACTTCCAAAAGAAGAACAATTTGGTGTCCGCCAGGACGCACCATGTCAGCCATGGTCATCATCCGCAGGTCACCACCACGTCGTCGCAGGTGAGATGATCTCTTGCTTTTTCCTCTTCTCCTCTTTACTTGTTTTTCAAATATTTGCTGCTCATACTTGACTTCGAGACGCGATTCTCTGGGAAGAAGAAAAAATATCGTCACTCGCTTGCATATCTCTGCGAGAATCGTCTACGTTTCGAGTATTTTCTGCTAATTCACACGCGCGAGAGAGATATGACTTTTATTATAGGTTTTGAAAATTTATCACACCTGTGCAAACTTTAAAGACGGTCTTTCTTTTTATAAATAAGAGGGATATTAACGACAGAAGCGAGAAAAAGTTATATTAATTGTTAAATCGAATCGTAAATCACCCTTGCACTTTTGTATATTATTCTTTTATCAAATCCAAATCATACAAGTTATTAAATTATTAATTTCGAAGAAAAAAACAAGTAAAATTTTTCACGCGCTATATATTTGGATGTAACTCGAAAATCTACGCACTCTTCTGCACACTTTGCACATCTTTGTGCACATTTAGCAGAAACGAGTCGCAGTATGTGCTGCAATATTTATTTGGCCTCATCGCTGCTTCGAGGAAACATGATCGTTGTCTTTTTCGCAACTATTTCCTCTAACTCGATTACATATGCCAGGATTACGCATTTTCGCGTTAAACAGAAACGGGTGTCCGCGCCGTTTTCGACACCTACACTCGAGACGAATTTCCTGAAAGTGTACAAGGAAATTTCGATTATTCATTATGAGTTTGTCGCGACAATCCGCTAAAAGCGCTGAAAATAAATAATCGTCATCGCTCGTTAAAGTCGGTCGATTCGGCTAACTGTCAACGCTTTCCCTTCTCATTTAATTTATTTTTCTATTTTAAGATGTAAAATTTAATTTTCAGAGAATATTTATTATTATTATTAATATTGAATATATTATATATTATTATATTTTTATATTGGGTATATTAATTACAAATTACTTGATTTCAATCAATAAATTATATAACTTAAATCTTTCCGAACTTAATCTGATTTGGAAAGTCGCAAAAACAATGTTATTTTCTGCTATAAATACACTATGTAATTAATTAATTAATGTAATTGCGAAATCTCGTGATTCGCGAATCCAACGTTTGTGTGAAACGTCGTCGACGACATGTGACTTCGATCGCGATTCAACGTTGAAATGACTTTTACGAGTGAAATCATTTATCGGTCCATCTCCGCTAATCATCGTGTAATCAGAAATCACGATCGCTCAACGAATGATTGTAGACATTTACGCAATATTGTCGCCCACGTGCACTTTTTCCCACTAGAAGTCAATTCCGCGCAATCTCCCGGTGAACCTTGATGTCGCATTTCAAGGTCCCTTCTATCGACGTTTTCTTGCTTTCGAGAGAACATTGCCTCTTTCTAAATTTAGCGGACCCTTTTCGTCTTTAGTCGTTTTATCTCGCGCCTCGTAATGATTCCTGGCCGACCGCCAGCAATCATTGCTGTGATATTACCCTCATATATGCATAAATACTGTTTACATTTCTTCTTTACACCTTTCTCGAAGAATTGTTTCTTCGAGGTATCCTTTCAACTTTTATGAGCAATATAATGCAAACCATTAGATTTGTATAAAGGTTTTAATATCATGTATGTCGAACGGAATTGAAAATAAAATATTGCACAGAAGAATTTTGAAATAAGTTTATTATTAATTTAGATTTTAATGTATATATTTTATAAGAGAAACAAATTTTTTAATAAAAGTTTAAGTTAATAAATTTTATTTAAAATACAACTGAAAAAGTAAATAAACTTGATAATTATATTAAATAATTATTACGGTTTTGTAATTAAGAATTTTCTCTTCTATTAAAAACAAATAGATTTATATTATGTTAGAATAATGTTTTAATACAAGAGAGAGTATACATTTTCGGTATAAATTTAAATCAAAAAGATTTATTCTGTTAATCTCGAAAATTAAAAAGGAAATGATTACTATATGGAAAGAGGCAATTTGCATGTTAGGTACATCATATAATTATTATGAACATTATATGTATATATTTTACTTATGATTATATTTATTATTATATTCTCATATTAGATGAATCGAAAAATTCAGAATCTTACAATTAGTATGAAACCGCCCACTCTCTGACCCTGACGCACTTACTAATCCTATTGATATATTTTAATTTTATTAATTTACTTTGACGTTAATTATCATATCAATGATCAATTAGATAAATTACGCTATGTATTACTTTTAATTGCAAGGAAACTGACGTTTTAAAATGAATAATTAGAAATAAATCAGGAGGTTACAAGCTCCGATATACAATAGATTGATATTTTTAAACAAATAACTTTATTATAATTTCTAGTTCTATTTACTTGCGAAATAAATGTATATTATACAGAAAACTTCGATTCACGCGAAGGAATTATTTGTCGTCAATTTTATTTTATATTGCTTTCGTAAATAAAAAATAATATCTATGTCCTTGTTGCATTTAAAAGGTCAGTTTCAGAAAAAGTGGGCCGTTTAAATAAATGACACATTATAAGTTGAAAATGAAAAGGGAAAAAAGAAAAAGGCGAGATATTATGATAAAGGTAAAAGATAAAAGAGAGGGGGCGAAAGATATGAGTCATCCTGCGTGGATCTTAAATAGAACGAAAACGGCTTTTGACTCGACAGATGCTGACGACAAACCAGAGCCAACGCCAGAGTAGTAGCAGCACTAGTACCACTAGTAGTAGCAGCAGCAGAGTGGCCAAGTCCTCGCAGAGGATCCTCACCTCGTCCTCGTCGAGTGAGATGAAGGCGAGCTCCATGAAGAGTGATTTGACGGAACTCAAGCGCGGCATCTCGGAGATGAAAAACATCTCGACCAATTTTTCGCAGCGACTGCGTAGCAGTATGGAGAACCTCGTGGACAGGTAATTTATTCTCAAGTCGAAATTAGATTTAACTCTAGATTGTAAAGGATTGGAGCGATTCTACTAATTACTGAGAATCTTGATGTAGTGTTTAATAGAGGTATTTTGAACGAATGTGTATACCGAATACATATGTCATGTTGAATGTTTTGCGAAAATTATAGGTACGTGATTTTGGGTACTTTTCTCGTACAGGTAATTGATATTTTTAGAATATCTTCGAGTTTGCCAGCGTGACGAATCTAATATTCATCGTCGTGATATATATTTGGCTATTTCAGCACGCAGTTATATTTTTTCAAATTATACAGTTATATATTTTTTTAATTGAATAACGGATAAGTTACTCCTAAATATAATGGAGTATTATGTCGATATTTGGGGTTTTATAGTACTTAGTTTTTTTGATAATATTTTGTTAGTTTATCAAAGATTAAATAAAATAAGGTTTTTATTACAAAAGCGAAAAATAGAAATAACCCGTTAAAATATTCGGCTGCTAAAATTCGCCGATCTAATTCGCAGTACACAAAAATTCAAAGGCTTTAGCTGTCAGTAGTAATTTGAGAAATAGTTGACTTTATCTTTCAGTGAAAATTCAGAGGCTCTCGCCTTCAATCTCTCCAGTTACTAAAAGCTCAGTGATTCATCTCCTTCGATGTCTAAAAGTGCAGACACGCGTTTAAGTTCAACTAAAATTTTCGTAACTGAAAGCTCGGAAACGCGTCAACGGTGAATATTTGTATATATGTATAATTCCGATTTGCGTGTTATTTTCAAGTCGAACAGTTTATTTTTAACGCATTGCTCACGTGTCATTTTACATACTTTGGAACGTGAAATAATCTTTCGTTGCGATTATATCACGCAGCGAAAGATAAATAAAGAACAATGTATACAAATTTACTAATCTGTATAAAAATAGCCTAAAATGTTTTGTCTGCTAACTGTGTATTTTGTCAATCAATAGTGATATATTATATTCTTATGATCATATTATTGTTTTCATAAGCTAGTTCATTATCAATGAAACGAGAGTACTTAAAAACATTGAGAATTGTACAATAAAATTTGTTTCCACGAACTTTTTTTTATGTATTTATAAGTTACTAATTTTTTAAAATTAGAAAAAATAAATGACGCGAAATTTCTTTTCTGAAAAAAATGTCGACTTATAAATTTATTTCATTTTATTTTTATTTCACGTATGTGTGCCAATTATTCTTTTCTGGATAATTATTGGATCGAAATATACATACATCATAAACTAATAAAGATTTCGATATTATACGAATCCCTTTTTTCTGGATATTTTGCAGAGATGGCAATGGACCGGAAGAGACCAATCTCACGGAACCGTTAGTGACTTTTCCGGATCCGGATACGCCGCCACCTGTCAGCGATGCTGTCACATTGACGGGCGGTTCTCCGTCCCAATTAAGTTCCCTGAATTCCCTGAACAATCTTCATCACGGGATGAGCCCACCAATAAACATGCCTAATATAGCTAATCTACCTGCCGGCCAGGAAACTATGAAGTTTGAACAGAAGAAGATGACCAGCGCATCTAAAACAAAGGTGAGCATATCTTTTTTATCTATCATTATTTTTTATTATCTCTTTAATATTGATGAAAAAATGATCAATGTTTTATATCATTTATAATTGAATTATTAATATTATATTTGTTATTAATTAAAAAATAATTAATATAGATAAATAATTAAATACAACAATAGTAAAATTAAATAATAAAATAATTTTCATTTTCATTTATATAAACGGAAATTAAAAACTATTTCTCTAAAACTCTTCAGCAAATCTTCGGGTATTCCCTGAAAATATTGTACATTTGATAAGAAATCGCGGATGATTCAGCTAGGATTTGTCGTGTGTAGCTTGCGTTCGATAGACATTACGAACATTGACGATAGACGCGGAGCGGATGTTTGATGATTGAGGTGCGGCTTCCTCCGAGTAGTCTAGGTCAAGGATTTTGAATCCATTTCCGAAAGAGTGTGTGTCGCACTTTAATATTGAGCATAAAGCATCTCGGATATCACCAATTTGTCTGATTTTATTTTTCCTTTGCGCTCAATCGTCGATTTGTTTTCACTAGGTCGTGACAGATGGATTTAGCGCCGAAAAAGCGACGGCGAATAGCGCCGAAATGAGAGCCCTACAAGCTGGCGACGTCTCGTACAAGGAACAGAGCGCTGCGACGGCGGCGAGAGCGCGTGTCGAGCTCGACGGCGTCTCGGCAGAGAAAAGCGTCGCTGCTGCGAGGGTGAGTACAATTTATTTTTCAAAATAAATACAAAACTGCCCGATTGAATCATTGAAAAAAATTGGCGTATGCCGTTCAAGAAATTATGACAGTTGTATTTATAGGAAATCAAAGAGAAACAGTAAATGTGTATGCGAGACATAAATGGAAATAAATATAAATAATATACAAATAAATAAATACGAAAAAAATACAAACCGATATATATTAAATATTAAAATAAAAATATTTGCGAATATAAATCGAAAGTCACAAATGCATAAAGCTCGAACTTTTTGCGCTCTTATCATTTGACGTGTAACGTAAAGCATGTACAAACACGATCAGAATTTATGAGAGAGTTGTGTATTTTAATACCTCTTGTAATTAAGGAAGTTCATAAAGAGATTCGCGCGTATTCGTATAGAATGTGGTAGGCTGAATGAAAAAGCGTGGGTGGGACAAAAGAGACTCTTTCAAGGTTTTCAAGGCGTCTGCTCTCGCTCTCTCTTTCTCTCTGAGCCTGACCTTTCTCGTTTCGGCGACAAAAGGACCGAGAGGAAGAAGACTCTGTGGGTGCGGCCGCGCGTGGCGAATAATTTGGCACGGAAACCTAGCGCGGGTAAGGCGCTGTTGCGAGGGTCGTTGACACACGCGTGCGTTCCGTTTTCCTTCAACAACGGTGTTGCTCCGTACTCGTCACGTTGCACACGATGAAATGCGAAGCTGCGCAGTGGAAATCGCGAATAAGATCTCTCGATTTTATTTTCACGATTTGCGGAAGAGCCGATAAAGAAAATTCATTTTTCACGGATAAGATTGTTTAGCTGCATTTACAGAAATATACTTATTTGACATTTTGTTTAAAAATTAAATTTAAAAAATATTTTCCCGCGAAGTTTTAGTGCTTGTGTGTGAATATATTTTTAACTGTAATAATAATATATTTTATTCGATATTTTTGAGATAGCAGAGAATTTCCATCTACTATCAATTACGCTTAATTTTTAAATACATAAGACCTTTATATAGAAAATATAAAGAAAAAATTCGTGTAAGAAAAGAAACAGAAGCATCATGTCATCTCGGAAGTAATTATTTAATATATTTGAGCTAAATTTCAATTATGTTACATATATATATATATATATTTGAATAATGTTAAGGGAGTGATATAACGTAACAATATAATTGAATTAAGACAGATTGCTCGAAATACATCTCTGTCTCGCAGCATTTCAATGTTTTTGTTTAAGTTAACGCTAATTTCATCAGGCTGCTCTTGTATACGTATATGTATCTGATAGCGACCAATCTCGACCTTGATTATCAGCCAAGGCGATGATTTCGCAAAAAATACCGCTTGTTACCGCGAGATACAAGCAGACGTCGCAACAAGCGGTAAATTCGCGAATGCTCTCGTGTAATCGTGAGACGTCGTGTCGTTCGTCAGTTTGGCTCGCGTTCAAAAATGCGCATGATGCTGACTCAAAAGCCACGTAGTAGCCGACCTAGCTGAATTCGCCTAAATTTAGATTACGACACGCCGCCAGGCGTAAATAATCGCGAAACGCAAGCGATCCGGGTCACCCGGTAGAATTGAGCCGTTTGCAAGTCCGATGCGATTTATTTCCTGTGTTATCTAATTTCTCTCTTTATGAATAAAAAGTAGAAAACAGCAGGAATGGATCGTACATTTATGCGAAAAAGAAATTAAAATTTGTCGAATTATATTTTCACTTTTTATACATAAAATACACGTGGTTTATTAAGAAAAACAACTACTTTATAAAAATGACACGATGAGATTAAATAATATATAATGATATTTTTATGAAACATATAGATCATTATATAGAGATTTTAAGACATTACAATTTTATTAATACAAAAATAGATTAAAACTTAAAATCACATATTTTCATAAAAAATAATTAAAGTTCAAATCATCACATGTTCCTTATTACTTAGATCTTGATTCTAATTCTACGTATTATTGCGATAAAAAAATGTATCTTTTAAACATCGAAGTTTACAGTATTTTAATATACAAAAAAATGAGACTAATTAATTTGACAAACATGTGCGTTGATAGCGCCTTCGCGTGATTCGCGTAGGTAGAACCGGCAATAAAAAGGCTCGATTAGTTCGAAAGAAAGATAAATCGTCGTATTTCCTGGGAAAGAGAAGAGGTGCGTGCTCGTCTCGAAAACCGCGGACGATTGCGTGCCATTTCGTCCGTGGGTGTGTTCGGACCATTATTTTTTTCTTTTTTTTACGATTCGTGCTATCCGTGCTATCCTTGACCCCACGTGTCGGCCTTGTGACATTCGTGTCGATATACAAACTTGCTTTCAATGCGATGCAATTTCGTCGTAAATTATTATTATTTTTTTTTTATTCGACGAAATTATACGTGAAATTTCGAGTGACAATAACGCACAGCTGTTTATGCACAGAATTATTAGTCTGAATCAGCGCTGATGCGATTTATTGAATTCGATTACATGCACGTAGCGAATTAAAATGAATTAGAATATACTCTGTAAATACGTCTGATAAATGAACATTCCATTGTACTTATCTCTACTTATTCACGACTTGCAAGCTTTTCCAAGAGATGTCGCCAGATTTAACTTAAATAACATCTTCAATAATGTCTTATTGTTGGAGCAAGCAGATTTGATATCATTGATAAAGTATCATTTACTGCAATTAATAGCTATGACATTTTCTTCGTATTTATCAAGATCTTTTGAATAAAATCTACGACTTGCAAAAACCTACTACGAAAAAACTAATTTATCTAATATAAAGAAATCTATAATTAAAATTTTTTTAAATTTGTTTTTCTTTGTATTTATATCTGTATAACATTAGATTTATTATATATATATATATATATATTTTTTGTTTCAATTAAAAGGAATCAGAAAAAAATTCATTAAAATCAGAGTCCATCGGGAAATGTAAAAAAACACTTTTTTTCTTGGAAAAAAGCATAAAGAATTCTAGCTAGTTTGCTAAGGTCTGCCTCGACTCGTGTCCACTTTCGCCTACTTTCCTTCTTTTCTACTTTTGCGAAGACATCACCCTCGTTTCCATGACGAACTGGGGTGGCTGCGAAAGTAAACCGCTGCGGGTCGATAGTTCTTCCTCCACGAATGGGGGTGGAGGAATAGTTCGTTCTCGACGTTGCTCGTCGACGGTCGTTCGGTCAAGTCGGTCGATTCGTTGGTTGCATGTCGCCTTTGCATGGGACAACAACTGTCGAGGCTGCTGGCACGGGGCCTTTCTCCGGGTCCGAGGTCCCACAACGACACGATAGTCCCACTCTCTCGTTCTCGAATCCTGGATAACGCCGCGCAAATGGTACGATGCAAAATTCAATTCAATTCTTTAGCTACAGTAATACGAGAATTATCTCGTCAAAGTAAAAGATAATAATTTTCAAGCTCGAAAAATTATTGAAAATTGCGTATGTGTGCATGGAGAAAATTTTTTCTTAGAATTTACTCTTAGAGTTTACTCTTAGAAAATCATGGTACTTAATCGTGGGATAATATGGTATTGAAAGAATTTTATAAGAGCTCTCTGATTAAATACGTATCACATAAAAAATGTTTAGCTACAGTAATACGAGAATTATCTCATATTACTGTCAAAGTAAAAGATAATAATTTTCAAGCTCAAAAAATGATTGAAAATTGCGTATGTGTGCATGGAGAACATTTTCTCTTAGAATTTACCCTTAGAGTTTACTCTTAGAAAATCATGGTACTTAATCGTGGGATAATATGGTATTGAAAGAATTTTATAAGAGCTCTCTGATTAAATACGTATCACATAAAAAACGTTAATATGTACACGGTAAATTTTACTATGTATACATAATGAATTTAAATTTATTTGAAGAAGGGTGCACAAAAATACGGCGAACAATTTTCCTTCTCGTTACATAATTGCGTAATGGCGAGACGATTTTTCATTTCACGAATCAACACGGAATAGAAAAAGATTTCTTATGTTTCTCACGCATCGATCTGACAACCTCACGTGCTCTTTAGAATTTAAATTGTACTCTTATGCAAATATATATATATAGTTTCCCCCAAGACACGATCCATACTCCGAGAAACGGCGAGGGTCGTTAAAATAGAATCGCGCGTTTTCTCGACGACACGAGTTTGTTGTTTGATTTGCTGTTCATTCAGCGACGCGCGTGAGATCATCGTGCAGATTTCGGTGAGAAGTTAGAAGACGTGCCAGGAGACGATGACGACGATTACGAGTACTACCAAGTGTCACCGATATCTCCGCCAACCGGAAATAGAGCGAGTATTCTCGGTAGTTAAATTACCAGCCGACCGCGACGTCGTTTCAAGGACGCGAGTGTCGCCAATGACATGCAAATGTTACCGTGAATTTCCCTGAGGAGGTCGTTAGCGAATCGAGCGATGAGTCGCGGTGATAAGAGCGTGATGAAAATTTGATAAGAACCTTTTATTGCGACATTGCATCTCGGCGCATAGAAACAGTTTTTCCTTCTTCGTTTAAGTTCGACTCGATATCGAATTTATGAGCCCCTGAAGATAATTTCGAATAACAAAGTCGTCATCCAACCACGAGAAGCCTTGTTTTTTTTACAGCTTCTAGATTAACGTCGGAGTCATTGTCTCCTTAATTAGACGAAGCGTTAAATAATTTTTTTGTATCATTTGCACACATGGCTATTATAATCGTAAACAATATAATTGATATAAGAAACTGAAAAACATAAATTGAAACAACAAGGAGATTTATGCAGTCAATTTTATTTTAATCGCGAGTCTCTGTTGTAATCCCCCTTAAACGTTGACATATACAAGTCATCAACGCGATAGGATGCAGATATACGAGTGATGTTGTCTGTCAGTGTTTAATGTCGTCTGAGTGTTCGTTAGAGGAGGAAATCGAGGCGAAATACGAGTCATTCGCGATTCGAGAGGTGATCTGCTCGCGAACTATTTCTAGACTAGTCGGAAAATAGCAGCGACACGATGCAACGTTGAGACTGTTAAAAAGCTGCACCGATTACGCGATGAACGTGCGAAATGCATTTCTCTCTCTCTCTCTCTCTCTCTTGCATACGGTGGGCGTAACGAAATTAAATTCTCTCGCGGGGTAGTGAATCGAGCTTAAATGCAGTGCAGATTAGTTTGCGCCGCGCTGCCATTACGTTCGCGACCACGGTGATTTATTGCTTTCATGTTTTTTACGTTTTACGATTAGTTTAACGAGTTTAAGTAATGGGCGATTCTTGAATTTTAATCTGCAAATGTTTCGACGAAAACGTGTGATTTTTAATTATTTAATTAAAAATAATTTAATTTAGAATAATTAGTGCACGGAAAAAAAGAATTAGCTACCATAGCGAAATTTTAGCTGTCTATATATTGCAACCTGAAATTTAGTTTTCATGCCTAAATTTTAGCTATGGTAATTAATATTTTTTAGCCATAGTTTAACGGGGAATGTTATAGCTGAAAAATATTTGCTGTTATAGCTCAAATTTAGGCACGATAATTAAATGTCATGTGTAATATATGGACAGCTATAAAATTTAGCTACGGTAGCTAATTCTTTTTTTCCGTGTGCTTAATTCAAAGTGCTTATTGAAACTGATGTTATTGAAGGTACTTGAAAAAATTTGATTAAAATTAATTCTAGATAATTGGTGTTAATGAAAAATAATTTGACAGGTGTGCTTTATTTTTGAGATTTTTATCTAATATAAAATTATGAATTATTTTTTCGTGACAAAAGAGATATTTATTTCGTACAGAACGGTTTATATTTTTAATACAGAAAAATAATTTTGTTGATATAAAAGAACGATGTTAATTTTAATAAAAATATGAGCGCACCGTGGCCGATACATCGTGGAATATTGGATCGAAAACGATTCGAACGATCGCGAGTGGTAAGTCCGAGAAAATTTTTTTTCACCCTCCTTTTGTTGCTTCCGGTAATTTTCTCGGTAAATTATTGAGCAACGTAACGAACCGACACCTTTTAACTTGAACTGACATTTGGAAAATGTGTATGGAACAATGTTCGTCTGACGTAAATGCCTGTGAAAATATCCGGCGATCGTTGTAAATATTTCGGTCCACACTACAAAAGCCGTATATTTAAAATTGAAGATTTGTTTATACAAAGAATTTTCAAAATATCACACGCGACCGTCTAAGAATAAAACAAAGCTGACCTCGTGACTGAATAATATTCATCACTTTGGAAACGAAAAGTCAAAAGTAGACGAGAAAACTTTTCACGACAAAATAACAAGAGAATATGCGGAATTAAACTAAGTATTATATTTTTTATTAAAGAGATTAAATTTTAAAAAATTATCTTATAATTATTGCACCTGTAAAAGTCTGTAGATGCATCCGGTTGTTTCGAGGATGACTTTAATATTTAAAATACTACACGGAGAGAATTTTCTCTTAGATGTCATCCTGAAAATCATGATAATGACAATTTGGTATTGGAAGAATTTTACAAGAGTTTCTCCGATCAATATATTTACCACAATAAAAATATTAATATCAATATGTACATAGTAAAATTCATCAGATTTTTTATATCTTATTGTGGTAGATATATTAATCAGAAAAACTTATAAAATTCTTCTAATACTATATATATATATATATATTTTCTATATATATATTATATATATATTTTATATATATATATATATAGTCCCACATCGCCATGATTTTGTGTGTAACAATAAGAATGTTAAAATTTAAGGAAATACAAAAATTGTAATTGTTCTATTCTAAAACGAAACAAGAACGAATGCACTTCGAGCTGCACAGTGCATCGACTTAGACGAGCTTTTCACGACGAGATAACGCTTTTCGTTCTTCGGCGACGTTTATTTGCAATTTATCATAGACGTCATCAATCGCGGAGTAAAGTGAAGATAATCAGAGTAGTAGCGAATCGAGCTTAATACGACGCGTAAGAGGCCGTGACGACACGCTCGAATTATATTTAGAGAAATACGTCGTAAGAGAGCCTGAGGGAAGAGAAGGAGAAAATCGACGTTCGAGACGAACGAGATCGACCAGCTTTTCACAACGCGGATCATTGTGTCGCGAAGTGTCGCGGGGAAAAGTATACCGTGTCGTCAATACTTGTAGAAACGCGGCGCTAGTGATAAGAAAGGTACATATCGATCGTATCGTATCATCGCGACAATCGATATCGTTGGATAATCGAACGCTCGGCATTTAATCTATAGCCTTCATCAGGAATTGATTAGCTAATTAAATATTATAATTTTTCGGATCAAAGTACTTTTTTCTTCTCTCTCTCTTCTCCGGTATGTAATGAAAAAAAATACCGATAGTGATAAGAACCAGATATGATGTGTTTCTCTGTGTGTATCTTTATACTGAAGATTTATATTTATTTTGATATATCTAATTTTATTGAATATGAATCTTCATCTATATGCATATGTATATAAGAAGTTATAAATAAGAAATTAATTAATTGTAATTAAATATTAATATATATATATATAATTAATATTGTTTGATTCGGCTTAAATGTGATAGAAAAATAGAAAAACAAACAAAACATTGATATTTTTAATAGTTTTTTTTTTTTACATTTAATATATATTTATACATATATATATGTAATAATTAAATTTCTGTGCTCTTGTGACATTTTGATTCTTCGTGTTATTATTATGTTAGGTATCATATATCAATCACGATAATAATTGTAAACGAAAGCTTTAAATGACAGAAATGCATATCTCAATGCGTTATTGCGCGCAAAGTGCGTGTTATGGCTACATGTCAAATCGCCGAAAAAAATCGCATCGTCTCGAGTACAGTGTAACAGTTGTACTCTCTCAATATGAGATGCTATCATCTATCTGCTACTGCAAATTAGCAAGTGCGTTATAAGTGGACCTTCGATAATATGCGCTAATTCCTTGCAACGCGCGGAATGTTATATAGGGTGTCGCTACTATGTAAATATCTGTTTGATTCGCAGGCCGGATATGTTTTGTCTCTTCAGAGCAATAAAAGTCAAATAATATTGAAGCAAAACTAAAACAAATAATTCGCAGATATTAATCGCACAGTGTATCTATACATCTCTTGAATATATTAATAGTAGATGGCAATTAGAAACATAAATTACAAAACAAATTTTCAATTTTTCACGTGACAATATGATGTAATAAATATACAGCGTTTGGCTGCGCGTGTTTTCTACAACAACAAATTTCTAAATAAATTTAAATAAATTTGAAATTCAAAAATGTAGGATAAATATATCGATTACGTGTGTTTTTTATTTGTAGGAACAGAGAAGCTTGAAAGCTGGCGATTTATCGCATCAGGAAAGCAACAATATGGCAGCATCCACGATGAAGCTTCAGAGTGATTCATTCACTTCCGAAAAGGTAAGTGAATACTTATTATTTCTTTCGTCACATCTCATTATAGGATTCTTCATTTTACATAAAATAATCATCAATTAATATTGATACATCTTTAGAATCATTAATAGACTAAATCTATGTAGAAGGTAAAACACTAAAATAATAATTAAAAGTTTATTTAAAACTTAAAAATATTAAATAATAAAATTTAAAAACTTTGATAGATGTGTGAAATAAAAATATCTTTGGATAAAGGATAAAAAAAATTAATTATTAAAATTATTCGTAATGTTTCAAAGATATTACTTGAGGTTTCTAAAGTTGTAAACTAGATTGACATTTCGCAATTATTGTATTAACTTTATCTATCGAATACGATTTTGTTTATAAGACTTTTCTCGCGACCGATCAAAGATCACGCGACAACGTGATGCATCGCTTTGCGGAAAAACGCGCAATTTTCTCAGTTTACATTCGCATTTTTGGCGCAACACCAAGCGTTAACATCACCCATTATACACGGGTATCCAACGCAGCCTAAATCGTAAATCGTCATCCTTAAAGATGATGATGAACGCGATCGGCGTTGCATTTTGGCACACCAGATCGCGTCGGCGTTTAATGCATTTCTGCATCTGCAATACACCGGACGGTGATTTAAATGCCGGCGAGCTCACAGTCGGACTTCAGTCGAAAAGTGAATTCGCGTGATTTGACAACAAATCGCGAGAGAAAAAGCCACATCAGTTTAGGAAAGCGTGATGATGCTGAGAAAATGCAGCCTCGACTCGCGAATGGTAAACGAACGTCATGTTACAAGTTGTAATTTATTAAACGAGAGCGAAAATGGTTTGTGAAATTTTTATTATGGTACATTAAAAAATTGTTTGTTTGCAAATTCTGTTTAATTTAATTTTGTGATCATTTTTATGTTACAATACTTTGAGTTTTTTAAATATCAAAAAATTTAAAAGAATATATTTTCTAAGAGCAATTATTTGTAAAATTATAAAAGATTATAGAAATTATAGAAGATTGTATTATATTATATTATTAGTTACTGATTTTTAATCATAAAATTAAATTTAAAAAATGGCAAATACTGATTTAAATTACTAGCAAAAATATTTATTGAGAAAATATTATATGAGAAATACATTATATAACGATAAAATATTTGTAAAAGTTTGTAAGTTAGGAACTATATTTATTTGAGAATTTTTATTGAATAGTATAGTAGGAGTTTTAAGGTACGAGAAAAATAGCATAAATAATTAATAAACATTAATAACATGAATATTTTGCGATTGCGATTCTAACAATGGAACAAAAAAATTTTGGCAATGTTATGAAGAATTATTTAGGATTAAAAGAAAATAAAAAAAAATACATTGGTAAACAAAAATGTTTAAATGGACATTCTATTACAACTTGTATCATACGGTCGTATCACTTAGTAAAAAATATTAACAAAATTAATCATTAAGTGCTTGTTGAACGATGTTCGTACTTCGCTTCTCATGCTAAGTATCTTCTTCAAAACTACTCCATGCTAAATATCCTGCTCAAACACCTGAAAATCATTTAGAAGAACATTTCAAAACACCTGAAGTCCATCTGAAAACATCCATTCCATGCCAATATTTACCAAACTCGACATCCTCGACCCTCTTCCTCAAGACCTTCGTAGCAACGTCCTTGATGCTTCTCCAAGTTCGAAGATCGATGGATGACATAATATATTTTATGCCTCGCAGAAAGCAATGGCAGCACAGCAGCAACGACAGACAGTCACGTCAACCGGCATCTTCAACCACGAGAAACACATGGCGTCAAGCTCGCAGTCGAGCATCACGATCGCGTCCAAGTCCGGGGTGAGCGCGTCCAAGTCGATGATCAACGCGGCGAGTGCGGTGAATCAGCTGATGAATGGTATGCGGACACCAACGGCCGAGGACGAGCTACTGTCTCTACCGTTGGACGATCTCGACCTGCTGTGCTCCAAGTCGAATCCGCAGGACGTGGACTGCGCGATCGCGAAGTACTGCGGCCTGCTTGACAGCTTCGTGGAGCGACTGAAGGCGAGCGCCGACAGCAAGAGCAATAGCTCCGGCGGCAGCAGCAAGGCGCCACAATTGCTAAACAGGGTGAACGAGATCATCGGAAGGCTTGGGCGGTGCCGACGCACGGCCACGAACTGGGCTACACCTTGTGCAACACCCTGAGGACGCGCGGCGGTCTCGATCTCCTAATGTCACACTGCGTGGCGAACGATCAGGAGCTGCAATTCTCATCGGCGAGGTTGCTGGAACAGTGTCTGACCACGGAGAATCGTGCCCACGTGGTGGAGAACGGTCTGGAGAAGGTGGTGAACGTGGCGTGCGTGTGCACGAAGAACGCCAACTCGGTGGATCACTCGCGCGTCGGCACCGGGATCCTCGAGCACCTGTTCAAGCACAGCGAAGGCACGTGCAGCGACGTGATCCGGCTGGGTGGTCTGGACGCGGTGCTGTTCGAATGCCGGAAGAACGACGTGGAGACGCTGCGACATTGCGCGGGTGCGCTCGCGAATCTGTCGCTGTACGGCGGCGCCGAGAATCAGGAGGCGATGATCAAGCGTAAGGTGCCGATGTGGCTGTTTCCGCTCGCCTTCCACAACGACGACAATATCAAGTACTACGCCTGCCTAGCGATCGCCGTGCTGGTCGCTAATAAGGAAATCGAGGCGGCCGTGCTCAAGTCCGGCACCCTCGACCTCGTCGAGCCGTTCGTCACGTCGCACAATCCGTACGAGTTCGCTAAATCGAATTTGGCGCACGCACACGGTCAGAGCAAGAATTGGCTGGAGAGGCTGGTACCGGTCTTGAGCTCCAAGCGAGAAGAGGCCCGCAATCTGGCGGCTTTTCACTTCTGCATGGAGGCAGGCATCAAGAAGCAACAGGGCAACACTGAGATATTCCGTACGATCGGCGCGATCGAGCCGCTGAAGAAAGTCGCCAGCTGTCCTAACGCGATCGCGTCCAAGTACGCAGCTCAGGCGTTACGATTGATCGGCGAAGAAATTCCGCACAAACTCAGCCAGCAAGTGCCTTTATGGTCCACCGAGGACGTACGCGAGTGGGTGAAGCAGATCGGCTTCGCCGAGGTCGCCCCGAATTTTGTGGAGAGTCGAGTGGATGGCGATCTATTGCTGCAGCTGACGGAATTGAATCTGCGAGAGGACATCGGCCTGACGAACGGTATCATGCGCCGCAGATTCGCGCGGGAGCTGCAGAATTTGAAAAAGATGGCCGATTACAGCAGCCGCGACACCGGTAACCTGAACAGCTTTCTGCAATCAATCGGTCAAGAGTTCTCCATTTATACGTACAGCATGTTAAACGCCGGCGTGGACAAGGACTCGATACGCAATCTCTCGGAGGATCAGCTGCAGACTGAGTGCGGTATCGCCAATAGCATTCATCGGCTCAGGATACTCGATGCCATCAAGAACATGCAGCACAATCAGTTCAGCTCATGCGAGTACGAATCGCCGGACAAGTCGCTCGACGTGTTCGTCAGTTATCGCAGATCGAATGGCTCGCAGCTGGCGAGTTTGTTGAAGGTGCATCTGCAGCTGCGCGGCTTCTCGGTGTTCATCGACGTCGAGAGACTCGAGGCCGGCAAGTTTGACAACAATCTGCTGCAGAGCATCAGGCAGGCTAAACACTTCCTCCTTGTGCTCACGCCCTCGGCTTTGGAGAGATGTGTACGTGACAGCGAGTGCAAGGACTGGGTTCATAGAGTGAGTCTGATTCCTTATCTTGTTTGTTTCCGATTCTGTTATAAAAATTAAAAAGATTTTAATCTTCATTTATATTTTAACAAAAATGATATATGCTTTTTTTTATCTACTCGTTCGTTTTATTAGGAGCTGTACATATAAAAAGAACAAATAATTTTTTATAAATCTATACTTTTTAAAGAATGTAAAAAGAAGAAGAAAAAGAAAGATATCTTTGAAAAAAATATTTTTTATGAAAAATCTCTAAAAATATTAAATTAAATATTACTCTAAAAAAATATATGTGTGTGTTATATGTAAATATTATATGTTCGGTTATTTTGCAGGAGATCGTTGCCGCATTGCAATCGCAATGTAACATAATCCCTATCATTGATAACTTTCAATGGCCGGAACCTGAAGAACTTCCTGAGGACATGCGAGCAGTCTGTCACTTTAACGGTGTTCGCTGGATTCACGACTATCAAGACGCCTGCGTAGACAAATTAGAAAGGTAAAGTATCGAGATCAGTCTTTTATCTTATCTTCAAATTTCCTTGTATTTGTAATTGAAAGGACAGGCTTGAAACAAGAAGGAAAAAGATTCTACTTTTCTAAGATGATTGTTCAACTTTATGAGAAATAATCTTGTTCTAGTATAACATATAATTATATCTCCCTTACTATAATTATATAAAATATTTTTCTTATTTTATTATGCATTTAATAATTTTATTCTATCGATATAAAATTGTTCTATATAATATAATTATACGTTGAGATGTATTTAAGTGTTAAAATAACTTTTCGATTTTTGTTTCTCGACATGAAGGTTTATGCGAGGTGAGATACCTATGAGATCTGAGCTGTCCGCCGGAATTCCGCGCAGCATGGCACCCAAAGACGTAACCCAGCCGAGTACACCAGGTACGACGAACATACGACAGCCGCCTAACTATCAGCGGATGCACAGCAACGAGAGCAGGGGCAGCGATAAAGATTCCACGGGTGGGCGAGACTGACTAGATGGCCCGCCCACAGCCATACCGAGCAGGTAGTTAATTATCCCAGATAATTTAACGCAGCTCTAATATATCGGGTTTGATGAGCGAATCGACTTGTCAAAACGCCCAGAAGAAAATCTAAAATATTTTAAAATCCATTAAACTGTAACAAAATCAAGCCTTCACTTGAGCACTAATGAAGCTAAACTAAATTAATTACTATACGAATGAAAGATTCAATTTGCATTATTAAAAATAGAGAGTAACGAAAAAAAGTTCAAATAATTGAAGGTGGATTATTAAATTATTATTTTTCTAATCTGAAAAACTTTTAATATTTTGAATTATTGATAATAATTAATATATGAGAATAATTAATATAAATAAATAAGAAAGTATAGTTTAAGTAATTGGAATCAATTTAATTATAATGGATAAAAATTTTTAATTATTTTAATTATTGGATTTTTATTGGTTGTTAACGAGTCAATTTATAATTCGATCTTGAGCCAAGCTTTACTAACGCAGCACTAATTTCTGTTTTCACGCAGCCAAGATTGCGAATCGCTCTATGGCAATCATGATTAGGTCAGTCAGTGATACAAATTCTTTATTGATGTTTAAATGATGTCAATCCATTACCATCCCCCGTTGCTTTTGCCAAACCTTTGTATTAAATTATTCCCTGATATCATATCGTTTTAATGTATCTTCAGTCTTAATTGTATCCTATTACATGTATGCTTGTTTTAGATATATATAATAGTTTAAGATGGAAATTTAAATAAGATCTTGTGTCTAATTGAGTGTTGAATATTCAGTGTATATGTGTGGAATAAATATATGTAGATCTCTCTCTTTCGATTAAATTATAATATTTTTAAATTATCTTGAATTCTTAATGTAAATTTAAATGACAGATTTTTGATGATGTCAGAATTTATTAAGAAATTTAGAGATTTTCCAAAAATATAATATTACAATTTAAATTTTTCTACACATAGATATTATTTATATATAGATGTGCATTATTGGAATCCAAGCGACACAATTGTGTGCATGATGTAATTATGTCGAATAAATCTTTGATGTTCGGTGTAAGAAATTAAAAACAAAATTTCAAAATATCAAATTTTTAGGAGAAGACGTAATTTGTTTAAATGATTCAATGTATCATAGATTTTAACAAGATAATATAGATTAAAAATTAGTATGTAATTTAAAACTTTTTAATTAATACTTAGTTGTAATGCGACGAATTTTATTCTCATTAGAAATATATAAGAGAATATGTGAAGATATAAAGTTCTTATATCTAACATCGAAGAAATTAAAAAGAAACGAATAAATACACCGGAAATGCAGGCTTACAAGTTTTGTTTTTGCATTCTAGGCTTAAAAAGTCGTCGAGTCCGTCCCGTTGGTTGATGGGCCTGCCACCCACGTCGCCACGCTTCAAGTTCATGCACGTGCATTCGGGGAATGTCAGCGGGATTTCGGCAGTGCCTCGCAGGCCGCCGCGGCAGCCTCCTTCGCCGTCGACACGATCTCGTTCTCTGGAATTGTTAGACCAGCAGGAACAGGAGCGGAAGATGTCGATCTCTTCTGTCATCGTCCAACGACCACCGCTTCCCAAACCCAGACCGAGGTCACGCAGTCTGGACGATCTTCTGGATGAAGACGCGAAGAGCAACAGCGCGGGCGAATCCCGCGAGGAGCAAAACAAAATGCAGCGTGAGAAAAATCATTCGCTGACAAATCCAGAGGAGAACAAAACCATCCCGGTTTCAAAAGAGAACCAAAAGAAACTTAGTACCGAAGCTATCGAATCCAAGGATAAACCAAGACCGGTTCCCAGAATGAAGTCAAAGATACCTGACGCTGAATTCCAATCCGAAATGGAGGATACGCAAACGTCTTCGGATAAGAATGACAAAGAAACTTTGTTGTCACATCCTCCGAAACCGAGTCGATATTCCAGTTCGGAAGGACAGTCTTCGACAAGTTCCGATAAGCACTTTAGAAACCAAGAGCGTCAGGTAAAAGAACAGAAAGTCAGGGGAACGGCACAAGAAAGACTGTTGACGCGGAGCAACGACGAGAAAGATTACAACGATGACAAATCGACGATATTGCTGAAAGCATCGAGAAGCTGCGGTGCGGGATTGGATTCTGACGGAAGCATCTCGTCAAGTGATTATAGCGGGTCCGGCACTCGTGCGAAAGGCCCGGGTTCGCTGTTGTCGTTGCCAGCAGGCGCGGAACCTAAGCGCAAACGAAACTTCATGGACAAGTGCGTGAACAAGGTGCGGTCGTTTATGAAGAAGTGAAGCGAAGAGAAATTTCTTGTTATTTAATTTCGCGGGCGGAACTGGAAGTCGAGCGCACGAGGCGCTCCGAAAGATATCTGAAGGATAAAAATAATATAATGTCTCTGATCATCGCACTCGAATTTTAGATATCTAAAGAACATTTAAAAAGTTTCATTGATAGTTTTAGGACTTTTTAAAAAACAGTTTAGATATCGAAAAAGTGTTATATATAGAGAACCATCGAAAAAGAAGTTTGAGCTTCTTAAAGTGTTTTAGATATTTCTAAAATCACAGAATAAATCTTAGATTTAGTTTAAAAAATAAAAAACGCATTTAAAAACTCTGTTTAAAGGAAGTTTGGCTGAGGAAATTATTTAGATACTTTTAAAAGTTGTTTGGGAGTCTTCAGTGTCTTTCAAGTCATTGTTTGCGAAAATTTTCAGCAGTCGCTATTGATTCCTGAATTTCGCGGCATTGAATAACTTCGCGTATTTACTCTCGCAATGCGAAGATATAATATTTCGTGCGGAGTTCGTGATCCGCATGGTGTACAATGACAGGCAGCATGAAAGTATATAGCGAAATGTTGTGCCTAAACATGCGACAAGTGTCTTTGTAGAAGTCCCAGGATACGCGTGTTTACGCGAATTTAGCCTGCTTTTCCAGGTGCCTTTTTGTATTGTATTTTTCTCGTTGAATTGTATACATTATACATATACACTACATTGTAGTATATGTTAGAAACGAACGAACGAATCGAGAATCGTTAGTTAAGGCGGCTAGATTATATGATCGTTATTTGTAATACTATTTTTTTAGACAGTTCTCTCTTAGGAATCCGCGTTTAAAGACGCGTGTGACTCGCGTGGTCATGAATTATGGTTGTTCTTGTCGCAGCTAACATCAGAAATATATACAAGCGCACGGAGTGTTCGGTAGTAACTCGTGATCAAGCGACATTCCTTCTTGAAAGCTAAGATCTTTGAGAAGTCAAAACGAAAGGAATTTTTTCCTTATCAATATCTAATCGATTATATATCGCGTTTTTTTGCAGCTCTTAGAATATTTTCGAATTTATATATCTTGGTAGCTATATACTTATATAATAGCTATACTTTTTGAGTTAAGAGATTTCATTAAAGTAGAATCCATCTAAAATTGATTAAAGAAAAAGAGGTTTTATTGTCAATTTTTATACGTTTCCTCTACTTTCCTATTCTAAAATCTCTACGGTTTCGATTAATAATGAGTTATTCATATCTCAATATATCGTTGTCAGGAAAAAAATGATATTAACTTTCGGTAAGATATGTTGTGCGCAATTAAACACGTTCATTACCGAACATCCGATAATACAATCGTAACCGTTTCTCGAGTCGCGCGATATTTTATTATTTAACACTGTTTTTATCGCACCAATCGCTGATGCTCGGCCCTCAAGCTGAGAATCGAAATGGCAACGCTTCGATATTCGTAGCTTAAGAGATCCGCCTGATTATCACAAAACTGTATATTTTACCAAAGTTTCATTAAGTTACGAGTTTTATCGAGATGTTTGAATGTTTCTCAAAATAAATTTTATTTAGCGAAACAACACCGTTTCTCCTCAGCTCCCTTTTTTGAGTGTCTCGAGGAATGTTACATAAAAAAATCGTGTTTACAAAAAATTGCATTTCTCATATTAAAAATATGAAACATACGGTTTTTTTTTATTAAAATACTAATAGGGGTACATATCTAATTCTTTTAATTCGCAATATCTTTCATCAGTTAACACATATAATCCTTATTTAAAATTTAATTTTTAAATAATAAATAATACATTAAAAATTTATATTAATATTTTATAATCCGCATCTTTTTTACACATTGTTATTAGAAATAGAATAATTATTTTATAACATACAATTATTATCATTATTTCCCTGAGTTTCCAATTAATATTTTTTACATTTTGTAATTAAAGTATCAATCTTAATAATGTCATCAAAACTTTACAAGTCTTATATAATTAGTAGTATCTCTTTCTATTTTTTATTCAATGTGAAGAGGCAATGGATAATGTTTTAATGTTCATTTCAGTCGTAAAAAATATATATTTAAAAAATATTTTTACCTTAAATATGAAAGTATCAATCTAATCGAAAGTGAGATTTTCTTATCTATTGATGATATCCAAGCGGCCTCTCAGTCTGCGCATTAGAATCAAATCGTTTCGCATAAGAGTAACCCGTTTGGCGTGATATGCCAACAACACTGCATCCTCAAAGAATTGTACGATGTACATCTCTGATGCCTCTTGTAAAGCTTCGAGAGCAGAAGCTTGTATCCTGTAAATTAGTTCTAATCTAATCTCGGATATCTCATTGATCTATCTCATTGGATATATATTTGCCTTGTAAATTCTTTTTTATATTTTTTTATGAAAAGTTTAGTAATATAAAAATGTACTCCAAAAATATTTGACTTTATATATATATATATATATATATATCTTTTTTATATAGTATTTTATACTATATACATGTAGTTGAATTTTTTTGGGAGAATAATGCATATTTTCTGTGTAAATGTATGTACAAGAAGTATTTGTATATATATTTGTAGATTTATTTCATATTTTATATATGGAACATTCAATGTATATGCATGTAAAAGATAAAATTGCTCTTGATTAATAATACAATTCTCAAAAAAAAAAAAAAAACTATAACTTAAAAGAAAAGCATACAGTTGGCAAAGAATTAGTAATCATATAAAAAATAAAAAATGAAGTTATTTACTTATTGATTTCCTTCCTGGGAAATAAGTCCAGCATAATTTCTCTGACTAACCGCGAAAAGGGTAGTTTAGGTATGAGAAAGTGCGTAGTCTTTCTCAGATGCTTAATTTCCTGCAGTACATGGGTTTTTCGTTTGTGTTTGCGCACTATTACATTTGTCTGAAAAATAACAAATATTAATGATTTAGTAATAGTGACATGTTAACAATTTAATAATGTTAAACATAATTTTAAATAATTTATATATGTATACAAAATGTATGTATATAATTTAACAAAATGTGTTCTACTTACTCTTTCAGATATAGATGGTGTGCCGATTGATCTAAAATAAAGATTTCATAAATTATCAAGGTTAGATATAAAATAATAGAAATACGCTAATTAATAAACAACTGCAGTATTAATGAATAATAAAATAAATTATTACACACAATATTACATATTGCAAGCAATTGAGCAATAGCATTTTGAGTGTCATGTTTAAGTATTATCAAAAATAATCATGGTAAAAAATAAAGAAAATTCTTAAATTTAATGAAAACCACAACAATTTAAGATAAACAATTTCTTCACTAATACATCAAATTTTGAGATATTAACCTCGGTACAGACTTTCGTCGAACCATCGTCGTTTCGTGATTGTTTTTCAATCACAGATTTTTATTAATTATTAGCACTTTATAAACAATATTACACGATTCTTTCCAATACAGAATTCAGTTAGGAAATTGGAAATTTATTACAATAAACGAAATGTCAATTCGACTGAAGAGCCGGCAAACACAATGACTTGGCGCCAATTTACGTGAACATAACCTTTGTTCCGTAAATAAATACCATGGACCATGAAATAGTCGAATTGACATAGAGAGAAAAACACGTGGAGAATATACCTCAAAATATCACTAGAATCAGACGTCGCGCAATCTAGGGAAATTTATTGATCTCTTAAAAGCAAGAAGAATTGCGTGTCAAATTCGCGATTTTAATTAATGCTTATATAGAATAATAATCTTATAATATCGATAAAGTAATTACAGTAATTATAATAATTCATAATAATGATAATTGAGGAAATTTTGGAATATATAATTAATTCGAGGAATATCTCGGCGCATTTTTCTGTTGGCCAGCCTGCCATTACAACGGCAGTTGCAGCACAGTATAAAGGTGCCTTTTCATACGCAGCATGCTGCAGCAGTAAATCAGTCACGTGATCAAAATTTATTAGAGCATATTTCTTTGTTCTCTTATTATTTCGAGGTTTAAAATACGATTTTGCTTTTATATTCTCACAATAATTTATTTTATTCTTAAAATCCTTTATTTAACTAATATAAGAATAACAATAATTAGAATCAACTAGTTGCGTGTTCTTTAGCTTTGCTGCTTTTGCTGTTCGTTCAATTGAACTTCACCAATAGCAACAAACTGCTGCGACAGTATGCTGCACATGAAATGATACCTTAAGTAAGAACAGTAAGTACACTCGTGACGATTTCATTGTTGTTTTGTGGCAATCATCCGCCATGTTGTTGGTTGGGCGCGCTTTCATTTGAATGTAACTGATAAACGAAACTGCTTAATAACTGACGTTATTCACATTGTGTCACACACACACACACACACACACACACATATATATATATATATATATATATATATATATATATATATATAATATAATTTTAAATATTTTTAATATAATATATAATTTTAATATTTTTAAGAATATAAGTCATTAAAATTAAAATTATTACTTAAAGTATTTGTATTTGCATTTGTAAATATATCGATTTATTATATAACGTTTTATCATTTAATGTATTTCTAACTATTGTGTTTTTATTCTTTAATATATATTATATTAATTAATTTTATATTAATAAATTTTAAACTTCTACTCATTTTGGAAAAATATGATATAATATTATTCACAAAATAATGCTTTATCGATTTAAAATATTCAATATTACCGCTGCTAGGCAACAGTCCGCCATATTGTTGGTGTGCGAGTCCGCCATATTCATTACCACCTTTTTAGGAGAGTGTACTTACTGTTCTTACTTATACCGTGGTTGCGGCAGTTGTCATTTTTTCTGTGCGGGTCGCGGTCGGACGAACTTTCCGTTGTGTTGATAAATCGCTATTTTTTGCGATCGTCGCGAGTGAAATGTGATATTATTGGCTTCGCGAATCATCCCGACTGAGATCTTGTTCAGGTGAGATCGCACTTTCATTTCCTTCTCGTTCGTGAACGTGAATTCGCGTATCGTTTCTTTTGAGGTTAACTCTCTCCCTCTCTCTCTCCCTCTTGTCAAACGTGACTTTTTCCTCGACCTTTTAATAGCTAATCGCTGCACGAAATTATTTGCATGGCTTGCGCATTATTATCGCGAGCGATAACGCTATTAAAACACGCATTCGGTCAATGGTGTCACGTGAGTACTATCGCAAGTACTCGTGATACCTATTTTTTTTTTGGTACCTAAGAAAAAATCGTGAACTGACAAGAATCTATCTGCCATCACATTACAAATTTTTAATTAATTAAATTTTAATTTTAAAAGTTTCATTCTAAATTTTAAGTTGTCTTTGTATTTCTGTGTTATCAATTCGATTTTATTTTAAATTGTAAATATTCAATTTTTATGTTTAAATTTATATATTTTTACATCTAATTGATATTTATATATATTTTAGTAATAGATATCATTGCAATTATGACGATTATTTGCTAAAATTAACACTGACAATTCTATTCCCTCTCTTTTACACTTTTTCACACTTCTCTCTTTTTATATTGTGCATTGAAATATTATCTAATACAAAACTTGTTTGGAACTTTATTTTATAATATAAGTTTTTATATAAAATTTAACTTTATATCTTATATATTAAAATATATTTTTTTATTCAGTTTTTTTTATAAACTTTCTCAGTGTTTTTTCACTTGTTTTAATACTATCTTTTACTAACAGTGTATAATATTATTGTTACAGTGTAGTGCAGTGAGATTATATATAAAGCATGTTGGAACCAGAGTCGACAGAGGCAAAGCCTTCAGAGGCAGAGCCACTAGAGCTAGAATCAAAGTCGGAGCCATCAGAAGTAGAGCTGCCAGAGAGAAAACTACCAGAGACAAAGTCATCAGAGCCAAAACCATCAGGAATAAGACCACCGACAAAAATTGAAAGACTTTGTTCCTCTAGGCCACGTAGACCAGATATTCCACCACCTTCCCCAGTGAAATCAGTGACTACAAAGCTCAGTGAGTCTTTGCCAAAACTGTGTGCTGTTTTGTTTTGTATATACTGCATGTTTATTCGAGTTTTCTTTGGTAGTAGTTTGATATATAAATATTATTCATTTTGGTGTCAAATAAATGTAGGATATATAAATATTTGATGGTGATCAACATAAGAAATATATACATAATAATCTTCTACGTCAGAAAATAAATCCAGGTATCAAAACAGAAATTAATAAATATTATGTACGTTTTCATAACGTTTTATTTTTGTATAACATATAGTAGTAGAATGTATATTTCAGAAGTTATGCTTCTCTTGAATCTGTTTCTAGTTTTTGGGACAACTTTGTGTCTCTAGAAGCAAGAAATTGCTAAGCATTTGTTACTCATGATTATTACCTAATATTTGATCAGGATTTATTACATACATACGAATTACCGCGCAGATGAATAAATAAATGATAACAGCGAAAGGTATTTATGCTATTGTTTATTTATTAATTCATAAGTGCTGTAATTCGTGTTTATGGAAGGTAGGTCCTGAAGAGGATACCACGTGTTATGCGACGTATTCCATGCATTATTACACGCGACTCGTTCATTTTGGAGTACGTACTGCGAGTGATGCAGCGTGACGCGTCTCATTAATTCGTCGCAGCGTGTACGCACACGAGAACACGTTACGCACGCCCACGGATCGCTCGTGAATAAGCGTGAACTCGCGCGTGCGAGTCTCTCCCGCAAGTATCTCGCGCGAGTCGTTCCTCGACCGTTCGCGACGACGCATCCCTCGCGAGAGAGAAACTGGTAAATATCTTTAATCAAAAGTTATCCAAAATTATATAATTAACGAGTTGCGCAAACTTAATACAAATAGTGTAAGTGCTTATTTTACTTAAAAAAAATTTTTTTATGCCCGCTTCAGCATCAACTTTCGCCAAAAATTGTGGTGAATCAAGTTAGTCATAAAACTCAAATACGTTTAAAGAAAATTATTTAGTAATTAATTTATTCCAGATAATAATAATTATTGTTATTTAATATTTTAAGATAATTAAATTTAAAATAGTTACACATGTGTGGAATTATATGTAACAATATTGTATCTATTAATAATTATATTTGTCATTATTTTATTTTTTTATTTAATTATTACTAGTTATATATATTTTTTGTTTTTTCTAAATGTCGACTAATTTGATACATCATACTTAATCGAGAGTAATCCGTGTTTTTAAACTTGCTCTCTAAAAAGTGAAAATAATTCCATCAGGCAACTAATAATAATAAAAGATAATTAATAGGTAACTCGAGAGTTAAAAATACGTACAAATCTCAAAAATAATAATTTTAATAGATATATTTTTTAGGAATGCTTTATATAATTAAATGTCTGATGTTTTCTTATGTCTAATGAAATAAGATATTTACGATCTATAAAAATTCTTGATAATAATTAATAATTTTACTAAAAGAATGGCAATATGTGGCAATATGTTGCTTCTACTAACTTTTAAGGAATAATGTTTTCCACAATCGTTAATCGATTTTTATTAATTTTTTTAATTATACTTGCTGGTGTCTTACAATTTTCTTTCCTCATTTTCTTCAGTTTAATTTTATTTTTTATTGTTATATTATATTCATTATATTTCATAATATTTCTTCGTTTCTTCTTAAAAATCTAATTTTTTTATTGTTAATTATATTAACTTTCTTATATTTCCTTTTTTATATTTTTTGGATGTTTCTTCTCTAGTGTTCATAATAGATGCACAAAGTGCAAGTTAGATATCAAATACAAGAGAAGGACACATTTTACATTGCTTTATGTTCCCATTGTGATCTCGGTGCATCTTTGCGGCGATGCATAATGAGCGAAGTGCGTTTTCGCGACCGTCTCTGTTGCATCCAGGGCACGTATCTTGCCTTATTGGTGCAACGCTATTGCATTGCCTTCCCTGCACAATCGTGCCGCGTCGGCTGACGCATTGCGATTATGCAAGTTGTCGGTGTTTATTTCGCGCCCGCGATTTCATCCCGTTTCGTCTTTCCTCCCTGATATTTCGTCTTTCCTTTTCTTCGATTTCTCTCGGTCTCCCTCTGTTTTTTTCCTCTCATTTCGTGCCCCTTGTTGCAAGAGATCGATCTCGATCATCTTGAATTTCGCAACTCGATGAAAAGACTCAAGGTCCATTTGCTTTTTCTTTTCTTGCATTATTCTGTAGGATATGTATAAAGAGAAAAATCGTATATATCTAGTAAAATTTTTAAATTAAGAGAAATATGTCGAATATGTTATCGATGAAATAAATTGAATAAAATTTAATTTTTATTCAATTTTTTCATAATTTTAATTTAACACATTAATGTCCAGTGTAAATAAGTAAATTTCGATACAATTATATATTTAATAATTTAATTCATATAAATGTGAATTATTAAATATATAATTATAGTTTAAGTGCGCGAAAATATTTCTATAAAACAATTTGGATAATAATTTTGAGAAGGAGAAATTTAAGTTTTGGATTTAAAATTAGCCAAACATGTGTAGTAGAAAAACGATTGGAACAAAATGCGAAATAAAACGTTAACATTTTGTTTAAGATTATTGGAGATGCAATCTGAAAAGATTATCCAAAACAAAATACATATTGTTAGAGTTTTGATATTCTGTAAATTATGTAGTTTATTTCAATATTATTACGGATTTTCTACTCGCTCGCATTCAATTTTGATTAGTTAATTTTTAACGAGAAATTGAGATTGATCACGAAAAGGTAATAGAAAGGTAAAACGTTAATAGTTTAATTAAGATTAATTGAATGCGATATAAAAAATCACCCAAAGCATAAAATACATATTGTCAAGGTTTATAACATTCTGTAAATTATGCGGTTTATTTCAATATTATTATAGATTTTTTAGTCGCTCGCATTCAATTTTGATTAGTTAATTTTTTTACAAGAATTTGAAGTTGGTTACGAAAAGGTAATGGAATAAAGGTAAAAGTTCGGCGCTTTATAATGACGTAATCATCATCATGGTGTTTTGCCGTAACTGCGACACCATCGGCTAAATATGGAGAGATATACGTTTTATGAGCGTGCGAGACTGTCGATGGATTATGCTCATTTCGAATTGCTTTGCTCGTTTTGTACAAGGTGTTCAAGATATTAAGCCGGTTTTAAATTCTTCCATTCGAATTCTGCGGTCTGACGAAAGTCCACATAGTAAATATTAAACACCATATGTGGTCTATTAAAATAGTAGCAATGTAATGCGACGAGCTTGTTTTGCATCCCTTTTTTATCTTCGCGATTTTAAAGAATTTATAAAAATTATAAATTATTTTAAGAATTTTTCCCTCACATTTTTCTTCCGAAAGCTATTTGAGAAAAACCAGAGCAACGTATAATGTAACATAGGGTGTGTCGCATTCCATTTATGTATTCATTTGAATATAGAATTTTATATATATTTTTGTTGATTTTGTGAAATTATTTTTGCGCACTTTGACAGATAAATATATCTCCAATTCACGTGTTATGATTATCGACACATTTAGTCGTAATTGTTTAATTATATTGGTTCATTACGTCATAATTTCATTACATTGTAGAATTATATATAATAACATGGTATCTCCTTTTAGCTATTAATCTTGTTTACGTGGATATCCTCCACGCTTGAAAGAGCAAAGCGCCAGTATTTGATGGCTGCTTCTATAGATTATGTTACGTATCAAATGATCACTTGACACCTTATTAACCTTAGATTCAGAACGTGGGATAATCGGTATATTAATGAGATTAACGAATTTGATATCTAGCGAATCGTTAATTGGACAGATTCTACATATTTTATGATAGTATTTAAAAATATTATTAAAATTAAAAGAAAAAATGTTTCCCTATTTTAATATAAAAATTTTAATATACATATATTTAATATAATATTACATAATTTTTGTTAAAAATATTGTAAGAAATAATTGTATTTTTACAATATTTTGAACAAAAATTAAATTAACGTGAATATTAGAAAAAATCCGCAATTAGTTTTATAAATTTTTCTCAGGATGCACATTATTTTTAAGACAATTATCTTTAATGAATTTCGTAGGAATTACAATTCAATCGCAGCATACAATTAATTAGCGGTTGATATTTAATAGTATCAAAGGCTAATATAAGATACATATCAAAGGCTAATATAAGATATATGGGAAATTAAAATGTAAAGGCAATTCATAGAGACTCGCGAACGAATGATGGCGCTGCGATTTTTGCATCAGATTCTATTGATACATTTAATCACGGTTAACACGCTCGAATTAAAAAATACAGTGTATCCTGTCATTGAATCATCGTGAGCAATCGTGCAACGCACATCACGTATGATTCTAATCATAGATTGTCATCGCGCAAGGTTTCGCATAAATTTACGTAGCAACGAAAATCATATGGAAATGAACGAGTTGTGCGAGTTTTAATAAGAAACACACGTTTCTTAACTTAATTAAAAATATAAGATAATTTTTTCCTTGACTCGAAGTTTAACCGAAGCTCAAGATTCATCCCGTAATCTTTTATTCTTGCAACATTACATTTTTACATGCAATAATTTATTTAACGTTGCATAATATTACGGTTATGAAAATTGTAATAATGAAGCAGAGAAAGGCAAAAGTTTCAGCAGAATTTGTTTAAATCCAAACAGTAATAGTTTATTGCTTCCTCATTTATGTTAAGATAAATGCTTTAGAACACGTCTCGTCTCTCGAATCACATTTTTAATTTTTTTCAAGCACTGTCGATCGCTTACATTTTTACATGCAATAATTTATTTAACGTTGTATAATATTACGGTTATGAAAATTGTAATAATGAAGCAGAGAAAGGCAAAAGTTTCAGCAGAATTTATTTAAATCCAAACAATAATAGTTTATTGCTTCCTCATTTATGTTAAGATGAATGCTTTAGAACACGTCTCGTCTCTCGAATCACATTTTTAATTTTTTTCAAACACTGTCGATCGCTTACATTTTTACATGCAATAATTTATTTAACGTTGCATAATATTACGGTTATGAAAATTGTAATAATGAAGCAGAGAAAGGCAAAAGTTTCAGCAGAATTTATTTAAATCCAAACAATAATAGTTTATTGCTTCCTCATTTATGTTAAGATGAATGCTTTAGAACACGTCTCGTCTCTCGAATCACATTTTTAATTTTTTTCAAGCACTGTCGATCGCTTACATTTTTACATGCAATAATTTATTTAACGTTGCATAATATTACGGTTATGAAAATTGTAATAATGAAGCAGAGAAAGGCAAAAGTTTCAGCAGAATTTATTTAAATCCAAACAATAATAGTTTATTGCTTCCTCATTTATGTTAAGATGAATGCTTTAGAACACGTCTCGTCTCTCGAATCACATTTTTAATTTTTTTCAAGCACTGTCGATCGCTTACATTTTTACATGCAATAATTTATTTAACGTTGCATAATATTACGGTTATGAAAATTGTAATAATGAAGCAGAGAAAGGCAAAAGTTTCAGCAGAATTTATTTAAATCTAAACAATAATAGTTTATTGCTTCCTCATTTATGTTAAGATAAATGCTTTAGAACACGTCTCGTCTCTCGAATCACATTTTTAATTTTTTTCAAGCACTGTCGATCGCTTGCTCGCGTTATTGAAAGCAAGAAGCAACTTATGCATAAAAAGGCGCATTTAATGTAGATTGCACTATGATAAAGTCGCCGGGATTTATGCATAATAATGGCTCTCGGCCGCGGCGGAGATATCTCGCTGCGGTTTGCAACCGCGTAATCGCGATTTCATCTCGTCGAACAGAGACTTCGACCCACGCGATCGACCAACTACGACAAGGCACGCACCCACGCGCCTTTTTTCCATAAATAATTAATCAGGTATCGCGCGAGAATTGCCGTGATATACCCGGACGTATATATCGGCGACTCCTTTTGCGGAGTTTTTTTCGCGGCGCACGTCGCGAAAACATCAACAAGATGAATAATGGAGCTTTGTGATGCCGACAGTGCGTAATCGTCACATAGCTTGCCATAGCTTACCTTAAAATTATCTCTATAAAGGAATCGCTAAAAACTACAAATTTAGACTTGCATCGGATATGTAGAAATAGGAAAGAAAATCTATGATGAATTTATAGAAATAAATCGCTATACATTAAAATTAGAAAATCCATAATTTAGAATGAAAGTTTTATTAAATATTATTATAAGATAAAATTCTTAAGTATTTTTTAACATTTATAAAATATGAAATTAAAAATGCTCTTATTTTCTTTTCGGTGTTTGGATCTTTTCGATACTTTTCGATGAATAATAATTAAAAGAAATTAAGAAGAGACAAATTTCTTCTGAGAATTCATATCATGAAGAGAGGAAAGCATGCGTTCCTTCTTATTGGTTTATTAAAATAATGATATGCGATGAACGATCATCTAAAAATATCTCGCACGATTGCATATTGCGCTAGAAATCGCTAGATCTTATCGACGTCATCTGCACACACCCTGACTCATTAACGTCATTAACGATTCGTTTACATAACTCTCTCTGTCTTGAGCCGATTGTGATCGACTTCCGATGGCGATTATTGCAACAATTACCAAACCAAGCCCTGATCCATTTCACGCCGAGTCGTCTTCCGTTGTATCTCTCACTTCGTAATAATTAGTAATTAACTTAGCTATAATCAACTTTGTACGATCTAACTATGACGGACATTACATATCCCCAAATTTATTATCGGTTTTACGCAAATTGGCCTTGAAGAAATAACAAGTTGATGTAAATTGTATATGCTTATTATGTTTGATATTAATAATCACATTATTTCGTATTAATGTATGTAATTAATCAATAATCTGAGTAATTAATCAATAATCTTAAAAATTTTCATTTTACATATTACAATTACTGATGTAATAAATTTGTATTAAATTATATCGAGCGATTTTCTCGCATTTATATATATAAATGATTATTAAGACGCTAATTGACATTAATTAAAAATTGGTTTCGGGGAAACTTTAATTAAGCGTACTCTCGATTATGTGGCGAAGAGAACCGTTTTTTTTGCGCGAAAGAATACGCTGGTCTTTATTTTCGTTTTTGCTATGATTTGCGTTATTTTGCATGACAATGACAGATCAGATGGAGCCTCTCTGGGAATCGCGCGGCCGTCAAATAGATGAGGCCAGCTTGCGAAGAGGATCAGGTAAGTGGCACTCTAGTTTTTTTCGTATTCTCGAAGATTGCAATGCGTTTGTAAGATCTCTGTACATCGCGAGAAATAACAACAGTTAGAAATACCGAGAGATGACAGTAGCTTAATTTTGAAACTCCCAGTCTCGTAAGACGTTCGATTTCAAATCGAAATTCCAAACCCGGACTTTAAGTAGCGAAATTCAGAATAATTTCACTTTTACAATAATACCGATTGTATATGAAACTTGGAACGTAGCTAGAAATTTTGAAATTTGTCCATTGTAAAAAAATAGTGCTTGATGAAGTCGTTTGTATTATGTAACATGTTTTTGCTTTGCGCGTTACATCATGTATATATATATATAATTTATATTATATATATGTATGTATATTGCATATATGCGTGAAATGTTTGTAGTAATTTAATAAATGTAGTATTACCTTAATATATAAGTTAACAATGTCTAATTAAAATTCAGACTATAGCTTTGTTAAATTAAAATATTTTTTTAATCGTTATTATTTACTCAAAGTACTGTCTCGATCAAATTTTTGAGAGAGAATTGAACAAAAATCAGGCAAGTTATGGGAATATTTTGGATTGTTATAACAATATCCAAATACTGATTTAAAAATTGATTCATTCCTCATTTTTGCGGGGAAATAAATTCTCTGGATTATATACTTAAAAGTTAGTAGATTGTGATAAAGTCGAGATGGTCGTATTTCAAAGAGAATCGTCTTCGATTCCGCGCAGATACCAGCGTCGTTCTGACCGAGGACACAGAAAGCTTTATGATCGGTGATCGAGTATGGGTCGGCGGCACAAAACCTGGTAGAATCGCCTACATCGGCGAGACCAAATTCGCTCCTGGGGATTGGGCAGGAGTCGTCCTGGACGAGCCGATCGGTAAGGACAATTTTAACGATCCTAGCCGATCGTACGAATTGTAAAGCTCAAGAGCAAATCAGGAAGAATATTTCCAAGAACCTAGAAAATCCAGAAATTATTAAGAATCTTGTTCTCTTGTCGTCCTGACTAATCAAGATCCAGCATACTCCTTTTCACAAATAAAGATCGGAATTTTCTTGAAATTAATACACAGCTAAGACAAGATAGAGGAAGATTGAAAAATAATAAATTTTGAAAAAAAGAGAATAAAAAAATTGGCGAAGCTCTCATAGAAGACATATGCGACCTTGAACTGCAGGGAAGAACGACGGTTCGGTGGCGGGTAGTACGTACTTTCAATGCGAACCGAAGAAGGGGATCTTTTCGAGGCTCACCAGGTTGACCAGGGCACCGCTGGGGGGTTATCAGATAAGCGCTACCTCGACACCGACATCGCCGCCCGAAAGCATCAAGGGCAGCTATCTGGGCAAATCTATGTCGCCGTCATTAAGTAAGAATCGCTGCAAGAGATACTCGCCACGTCCGTAGATATCTAACTGGCGTTGCACGCTGTATATGCACCGTTCACGAATTTTATTTTGTTTCCCGATTTTAACTCTTTTACCCCCATTCCTTCCTACTTGTAGTCCTAGAGAATTTTTTCGAGAAAAATATCTGATTTAAACAATTTAAATAAATGATCGATATATTATTTTACTTATTTATTTTAAAAATTTGTTGCAGCGTATTCTTATTATATATATATATGTAACGTTTGCTATTTAACAACAAAATGTTAGTAGAATTGAATAATAAAAGAAAAGTGGTGAAGGGGTGAAAGAGTTAATCGATCGTGTGTTATTGTTAGTCATTAGAGGCTTGAAGAGAGCACAAAAATCATTGTTTTAATTGTAGTATTAATTACGATGTTGCTTTAAAAGAGACGCTATTGTAAAGTAGATAACTATTTAATTTAATAAGTAAATAGTCAAAGGGAAAAGGTTAATCTATTTTTTTAATCGGTGCGCAGCATGGAAATAATTTAGTTTTGCATGATTTAGCGAGATGTTATTTTTTGAAATAATATAATTTAATCTAACGCACACACACATACACACATTCATATATACACACACTTATATCAACAGATTAATACTTCAAACATAAACGAATAAAGGTTTATTTATAAAAATATTTGTAATGTGTATTTGTAATATTTGTAAATATTATTTGTAAAAATATATTTACAGAAGCAACTAGAGGTGAAAAAAAAAAAAATTAATAAAAAATATAGGTACATCAAACAAATTAAAATTTACATATTACATAGAACGCGATTTGTTTTCATAAAATATATGTATATATGTGTATGTGTATATGTATGTATATATTTAATTTTATTTAAAGGTAAGACATTTTTTTCCTAGCGAATATTTCAGATAGAATACAATAAACGTATTCGAATACATATTTTTATAGAAGCATGAAATAATGATATGATTTTGTTTTTACTAGTATCTAGAGAAAAGGGTTTATAGTTTTATAGAAAAATTGTTTAGCTCGTGGCTTTGAAATAAATGAATCGCTATATATTGATCGCGCATCGCTAAAAACTGTGAACGCAGATGTGTCGACGACAAGCTTGTCCTCGTCGGTGTCGCAGAGAGCGAAAGATGACCTGAAGATAGGTGATCGGGTGATCGTGTCAGCGATGCAAGGTAGCAAAACTGGCGTGCTCAGGTACCAAGGACCCACGGATTTCGCTGGAGGCGAATGGTACGGCATAGAATTGGACGAGCCGATCGGAAAGAATGATGGTTCCGTCAGCGGGAAAAGGTGTGCATTTCCCTTGACGAAAAAATATCCCTCATTACTCATCTTCTTAATCGCACGGAGTGTCTTCGCGCGATCAGAGCAATTTTAGAAACTCCAAGTTGCTCCTCAATCAAATTGAACTTGCTTTGCATTAAAGATTGTTCAGAAGGTTTCTTCTCTTTGCTCAGTTATATTAAAATTCAGAAATAATATTAAATAGAGTCTTCTTCGAATTTAATGTAAGGAGGGAATTTTAATCTTTAATTCGGTATATGTACGCAGAATTTTCTCTTAGAATTTACCCTCAAAATTATGGTAAGAGTTTCTCTGATTAATATTTCCCACAATAAGATCTAACTTATGCTCGATTAATTTTACTATGTATACATATTAATATTTTTCACTGTAATAAATATTAATCAGAGAATTTAAAGTGTAAGACAGGCAATAAGAGCCAAATCGCGGATGGCAGTGCGTTATCCCAACGAAACTAAATTTTTTCGTTAGAATTAAATACCTGTGCACAAGGCACCAAATTTTACTTGGTCACGGCCAAGATTTAAAATTGAAATAATCTCTACAAGAGATTTAATTCCATACATCCCCATTTTCTCTCGCATTTATTTCCTTAGGGGGAAACAGGGGATGTGTGGAATTAAATCTCTTGTAGAGATTATTCCAATTTTAAATCTTGGCCGTGACCAAGTAAAATTTGGTGCCTTGTGCACAGGTATTTAACGAAAAAATTTAGTTTCGTTGGGATAACGCACTGTCATCCGCGATTTGGCTCTTATTGCCTGTCTTACACTTTAAATTTATATTTATATTACAGAACCTCGTTAAACTCTTAATTAATCAGAGAAACTTATGAAGTTCTTCCAATACCATATTGTCCCACGATTACCATGATTTTTTGCAGGATAAATTCTAAGAGAAAATTCTGTCCGTGGTAAGAAGAAAAAATATTTCTATTATAATTGAAATTGTCCTGAACCAATGTTAATTGGGAGTCTTTCCTCTTTCATTCGATTCGGAGTCCCCAGAGCACGCGTGATCTCTCGAACGCTTGGAATGATCAAGACACACATAGTTCGCATAATCTTCCCTTATTCTCTGCAATCCGTGCGTTCCCCACGGAACTAACCCACCCGTTGATCCAGATACTTCGAGTGCCCGCCGAAGCGCGGTCTGTTCACGGTCCCGCACAAGGTCAGCAGGTCGCCGTCCGTCAAAAAGTCATCCATGGTGTACAAACCGAGCGGCGGCGCCACAACAAACACCACCATCCCCAGCCTCCAGAAGAGGAGCGGTTCGCGCGACTCTCTCGCGTCCAGCATCGCCAGCGTCAATTCGAAAACGAGTTCGCCGATCAGCACCACGACGAGGGTAAGGTTCACCATGCCGGAATGAGGGAATGAGGAAGTGCATCTGAAAAGCAACCCGCCGCAGGCCGTTGTTCCGGCCCTATTTTTCTATTAATTTATTAGCCTGTAGAATGTGTTGTCGATGTCGTTGTTGGTCTCGTTGATGATCTACTAGGTGCAATCGACCTTTAAGTTCTTCCCCATAGAAATCTTTTACGGTTCTCGTACGAAAAAGCGCCGACAAGTAAAATCTGGAAAATCGATCTTTAAATCGATTTACGAATAAGGACTCAGCGCGAGGATTTAAAGAGCGCATTTATGCAAAAATAATTTTAGGTTTATTTAATTATAGAAAGTTTTATAAATCTTGTAGAAAATTATTCTTTTCTTGTACTCGCACGTTCTTCAAATTCTTTTCTCTAATTGCGTATAAGGAACTACACGTTCAAGTCTTGGGACGTTTAATTTAAATTCTCAATTCCTTTCCTGACTTTAGAAATTTAGAATTTGATTTCTATATTCTCTCCTTATTTAAATTCTTCTTCCGAGTTTGCAAATAAGAGAAACTTGTATCAATTTTGCAATTCTAAAATTTAAATTTCAGAAATTGAGAATGTAATTTAATTTGCATCGAACTCGTTGCATCTAAATTTTTCCTTAAACGTCTTAGAAGACGTGCAACTTTTTTAATCCCTTTTCGTATCTTAAATCCTTCGATTTAAATTCCTCTGAATTTCTTAAAGGTCGATTACGCGGTAAATTGTAGTCATCGTTTTCGCTTTTTACAGCCCTTTTATATTTCTTTAACAAAAATCATATCTGTATAACATACGTGATGTCGTGCGAATTAATATATTAATTGTTACCTAAGATTGCCGTTAGGATTTTTCTGCACGATCTTATTTTTATTTATTTTATTGTTTTTGTTTCCGTTTACATCAGACATTGCAGAGGCCTGGCATGCGCATGTCGACACTTGTTTCACGAGATTCACTGCAGGTGAGACCGTAACTCCAATAATAGCTCCTGATTAATTCATTATCCTCGCCAATTAAAAGCGATCGCTGATCTTTGCGATTCTCCTCTGTCACTCGCAATTAGTTTCGTATATTAGGATAATTAGGATAATTAGCGAATCGAATTAGTCGATTAGCGAAGCTCGATCGTTAACGGTTGCCCTGTGTGTGACTGCGTTTTATTTATTTATTAATTTAATATTATCGTTCTCTCGAGTCAGAGCTTGTAATATATAGTCGATCTGTGTGTATATATAATGTTAATAAAATCCTACGTCCTCTTTTTCTCTTCCTCGTAAATGATTTTCTCTAGTTAATATATCTCTGGGTGAGTATATCTACGTCGCTTCTTACACGCGACAATTAACAGTTTGCCATCATTGTATCCGATGTAATGTTTGCTGGCGATATCGTGGCAGCTCGATTAATTTATATCTCGAAAACATTTTCCACGACACAAGTTAAACGTAAGTCCGATGTTTGCGTGGGCGTTAAAACGACGACCAGCATCATCGAGTCGATTAATCAAACTCGCCATCGTTCGATAATGCGATGTAACGTGTTTACTCTTAATTTGTATTGCTAATATCGCGTTGTCGATGTAAAGAAGAATGTCGTTTCAGTGTTCACAGCTATCTCGCATTTATTAAAAACTCGTGGCAAATTCGATGACAGCGCGGCAAAGCTGTTGCATAATGCGAAATGCAATGCGAGATGACTATTGCAGGGGATTGTTATTCAAATTTAATGACCAATTGGACGGTTGTTATTCAAATTTAATGATTAATTTAATATTAGAGCCTAATTTAATATTAATAGAGTTAAACTTGAGTCGTAGTATTTAATTAGTCGATTTACTTCGCTCGTACTGCGTTGTAAAAATTTGTACAATGCGACAAAAGAATTGTTTTATTTATTCATGCCTTTGTCTCAGCCGGTGCTTCATGGCTTTTAAAATATTTTACAAAGAGATATATACTAGTGTGGAAAAATCAATAATTGTTTCAAGCATCGCAAACTGGTTTTATCAGTAGAAAGTTTCTATAACATAGAGAATTTTGTCTTATTTTAGTCTGCTCGATAGCTTTTATGAAAAGTAAATATTTAAAAAATCGAGATATAGATTAGATACTTATTGAGTTTTGCGTTTCTTCTTTACGTTAGCAATTCGCAAATAATTGATAAAATATTTTCTCGTAAATTACATATAATGATTTAATATATTGGAGTTATATAGTAATGTGTGCGTTATCGCGCGTTAATTAATAATACAATAAAACGATTCTATTCCTTAAAATCCTTCCCTGAACATTTTTTGCAACATTTGTGATTTTGAAATTAGAACCCAGCTCGTGGTTTTAGGAGATTCTGAAAGAGAAGCTGCAGGAGATAGAACTTCTGCGAAAGCAACGAGATTTGGAGCGTGCAAGGGTTACCAAAGCGGCAAATCAAGCTGATCAAGCGGAGCAATCGGCACTTTCTATCAAACAAGAGTATGATAAGGTAAGATATTTATAGCGTCAAACTCAAATTATTATTTATATGAAAAATGGGTTTTTTCAATGATCTGGAATTTCGAAGTTACCGCGTCGCTTATCACTTTTTATTTTTGCTTGTGTGTATTGAAAGCATACGTTTATATATATATTTTTTATTATCGATATAATTATTATTTTTATTAGTAACATTTTTTATCAAATTTATACATCGAAATTATGATCGACGCGATAAATTGAAACTTTAGATTGCCAAAGAGTTTTGTTCCAGTTTTTGTTCCTTCTGTTCATTGAGTTTTATTTTTTTTTTTCGGCCATTCTTCGTCGTTGACGTTGTTTAGTATCGCGAACAGATGCAACAATCAGTCAACGAAGCGGAACTTGCTGTCACCAAACTTGTCAACGAGAGAAATGGATTGATGGTGCAGCTGGAAGAGGAGAAACGAAAGTGCGAAGATCTTCTTTTCCGTTTCGAAGAGGAATCCGTGAATAAAGACGACATACAGGTATGTACGTTAATATTAACGTATCAAGCGTAAACGTACATAGCTATAATTATTTATCAAATATAATAAAGACTGAGTATCTCGTTAAAATACTCGGAACATCCGGTAAGTAGATTTATCTACGCTACCACTTGTTTGTTTTACATACATATTTGATAATAATAATAATAGAAATGTCTCAGAGATTCATATTTATCTTATTATAATACTTTTTGTTAATGAATAAAAATTGATCTGAAAAAAATCTTGGGACATGATAAAGACAAAAGATATTCAACTTTTAAATTTTTGTTACGTTGCTTTAATTTTTTTCGCCTTTGTTCTGTTCATCAAACATAAATTCTTCCAATATCATATTAAAGGAAATCTCATATATAAAATGTTAGGTGATTCTGGACGGTATTTATATATTATTCGTGACAAATATTGTACACTGCTTTCGTCCGAATTCACGCATTTTAAATTTAACGGTGGCGGGTGATGTAAATTACAACACACGCGTGCTTAGCTACATCAACTTGGCAAAGAGCTCAGAAATTAGTCTAGCAAGTTTTTGCAGCGCGCAAAAAATATCAAACGTATCTATTGTCACGTATAATAAATTATTTTACACTTTAATAATATATGCACATATAAAACTGATCAAAAATATCAACGTGGAAAATTACATATTTTCAATTTCTATATAAGCTTTGTTTTTTGAATAATCCCGAAAGAAAGAGAAAAATCTGTAATTTTTTGAAGAGAGAAGAATACATTCAGTTCTTCGGTTAATTTGGCAAACTTACCGTTTATTTTCAGAAAGAGAGATCTGAGCAAAGTGTGAGTATCCGATGGTCCTTGGCAGAAGTGATCCAGTTTTTCAGCACCTTTAATCTAATCATCATTCTATACCTGCATCTTTGCATTTCGTCGCAGAGCTTTTCGAAGAGCTGATTGACGTGTGCAACGCGAAAAACGCAAAAAAAAACGCTATTACTAATTAATTTTGCACTGGCCGTACTAACAACGCTAAATTGTATATATATGGTTAATTAGGCTATAAATAACGCTATAAATAATGCTATATCAAGATCCTACCGCGTGTCAATCTTGAAAGAAACATGCGCGATTATATTTGCATCGAATATTTTTTTAAATTAATTTTTTTATTAATCGTTCAATTTATTATTTATCGTTAATAAGCATATTTAATGTCGCGACTTTAATGTGGCACAAAAAAATCTTAATCTAATAATATTAATTTAATCACGCTTTGCTGTTGTGTAATTGAGAGAGAGCTTCATAAATCACATGCTTTGTGTGCACAAAGTTATTGGAATGTGTTTTACAATTATTGTACTTTATAATAGCATATTTTAAACATTAATTAGAATCACGAAAATCTTCATTTTAATATGAAAATATCGAGATTTTTATATTTTTTTATTATGAGTGGTAAGAATTAGCCAATAATAAAATAATCGCGAAGAATTTATACGTTCAGTTTTTGATAACTGTTTACACGAATGAAAAATCTTGTTATTAATTTTAGCAAAAATTGTGATATATTACTAATAACATATTTTAATTATTATACATAAATAATTTAAACTTACTTTTCTCTTTTAACACAAATTTTAATGGCGCAATTAATTACTTCATCTTTAAAAAGAATTATTAAATTCAATGAATATTTAAAGAATATAAATTTACTTTTTGAGAAAAATTTTAAATGACATTTTTTCTAAATTTTTATGTCACAAAAATGTGAAATTCAAACATTAAAAATTTTGAAAAAATAAATTTCTTTTTATTCAACAAAAATAAATTATATTCTGCAAAACAATAAATTTATTAATCCTTTCTAAACGAAAAAAATTAATCGAACTTGAGCTACGATAATAAATCTGTATGATTGTAAATGTAGTTACGAACTTGAACGCGTGTATAAACTATGTGATACCGCATTACCCAATTCTAATCGCTTATAACTAAATTTTGGTGTAATTTTGATATTTTTACATTAAAGGATTTTTTCTAGATTCTAATTTTTAATATAATTAAAAATATACTATGCATATATTGTGCGATGATTGTATCATAAAACACTTTAATTTTATAACTACAAATTATCGTAGGCATTATTATATACTTGTTTGTTAATTATAGGTATTGTACTTATTTATTTATTTATTTATTTATTTATTATATGCATGGTTTTGGTTTTCTTATGTTTTGTATTTCAAGTAATTTATATTATTTAATTAATATCTTTTCAATTTTGTTTGTGGTACGCTCGAATGTCATAATTGAATAATATATTTTTTGCATTTTGGATATACGCGTACAATTATTTATTTTTTTGTTTTTTAATGTGATAAAACTTTTGTTTCTTACATATGGATAATTATACATTGTGCTTCGCATATCTCAGCGTGCTTTCTGTTTTTTGGATAAATACGCTTTCGAGTATTAATATACTTATCTCCATAATTACAAATAAAATATTGCTCTCGCTAAAAAATTTTTTATGATACTTAAACAAGTTTACATAATAATTCTTATGTTATAAAAATTTTAATAATTATTAAAATTAGTTTGAGTTTATGTTTAAATTAATTTTATTTTTTATGTGGGATGTATCCATTTTTTCGATATTATAAAAAATGCATCATGCATTTAAATACACTAGTAATAAATATTTTGTAATATTATAATATTAATATTATGATTGCGATTTATTTATTGTAAAAATGCTGTGAGAGATTTAAATTTGAAAAATATGATTTATAAAGCCTAAGTTAGACAATATTTCAAAAAATAGGTCTTATCTTTGCACAAATAAAATACTAAAGGTTTTATATAAACATCATTCATTTTGAGTAGTTTCGCAATTATATATTATTAGATAAATTTTTGATTAATAAAAGATACTATTGTTTTATATTTTTTATAATGGAGGAAATTGCACATTATTATAATACTCGAAATGCGATTACGCTATGTATGAATCTCGTATCTCCCTGAAGACTAAATAGCTTCCCTTATTATACTAGGTCATAAATACTGTAAATGAAAGCAGGATCAAGCAGCTCGAGGACGAACTCGCTGAAGAACGACGGGAACGCGTTGCTCAGTTGGAACGCGACAGCATCAAACTCTTCGAGGCCGAGGAGGAATTGACGCGACTGCGTAACGAGATCAGCTGCGTGACGAGCTTGCACAATTCTCAGCTTCATGGTATTCAATATCTTACATTTAGACGCGATCAGCTCTTATGAATCTCTTACATTTAAGCTCTACGTGATTTTATTCGCCCTCTTCTCTCAACTTCTACTTTACTGGATACTCTGATTTTTAGATTTGGAGAGCCGTAATCAGAGCTTAGAGGAGATCAAGAATAGCTTGGAGAAGGAAGCTCGGGAGAAATCGAACCTGGTGAACGAATGTGTGGACCGTATCCGGGAACTGGAGCTCGAGTTGAGCAAAACGCAGCAAGAGAGCACATCGCACAGCGAGTCCGAGAGTCGTTTGGAGAGAGAATTGGAAGCTGCTAAACGAAGCCTGCAGAACAAAGAGACATTGGTAGAAAATATGAAACAAGAATTCGAAAAGAGTACGAATCTCTTGAACGAAGAGCTGCGAAAGTCGAAGGAAATGATCGAGACGATGAAGAGAGAGAGCGCGAGCGAGAAAGACTTGTTGCTGTTGGAGTATCGACAGAAAATCGAGGAGAGGGATCGGTTAATTAAAGCAAAGACCGAGGAGTTGGAGAACGAGTCCAGGAGGCTGCTAGAACAGCAGAACGTGGTTTTAGAAGGTTTGAAAACCGAGAACATTAAGCGTATTCACGAACTTTCAGAGTCTTTTGAGCAACAGTTGCGCGAGAAAGACTCGAAAATTGATGAGGTCTCGCAGCAACTCAATCAGAGAGCATCCGAAACCGAAAGACTGTTGGCCGAATTGGCTGCTGAACGAGAGCTTCGCAAGAAGAAGGATGAGGAACTGAATGACGCTTTACGAAAGTTAGAAGGTAGACCGCAAATATTATTTAATTGATTAAAATTTAATTAATTAAGATTTTGATAATCGAAAAAATTAATCTTTTATTGCAAATAATTTCTATTTATTTATATGCTGTTTAAATTTCTTTTTAATTTATTTGTTTTATATTTTGTATTTATTTAATTTTTAAATATTCTTGACATCTTGAGTTTATTATTAGCTTGTTACGGGATAATAATTTTCGCGTTTTATAAATAAACATATTTATATTTTGCAGAGTTAAGTATAAAACTTAAATTAGCCGAAGAAAGTAACAATGCGCTGACGAAACAGATTGAAGCTTATAGAGCCAAAAATGAAGATAATGTCAGAATTATTCACGAGAAGCAACAACTGGTGAGCATAACTTTTTTTTATTTTACACGAACGTGACATTAAAATTTTCATTTTCTCATTATTCATGTTTATCGATCCAGGAGCATGATTTAGCTAATTTAATTGCTTCGGAAGAGAAATCTACTGCACAATTAAATAAATTAAGCGAGGAGCTGAGAGTGAGAGACCAAGAGCTCGCGGAATTGCGAAATGCTAACATGGCGCAAATAGAACAAATAACTAAACGATTTGAGATCCAAATTAATGAAAAAGTCAAATATATCGACCAGATAAGCGCGGACGTCGCACAGAAAGCCTTGATGCTCGCTAAATTAGAGAAAGATATTGCTGAATTAAAAGCGATTATAGCGAGCAAAGATGAGGAGATCAAACATCTTCTTGAAAAGACTTCAGGTAAAATCAAATGCAGGATCTATCTTAAAATATTAAAAAAAATTAAAGTTATATGAAATATATATAAGAGAGTAAATAATTATAAACAATTTATACAATTTTTTTAACTTTAAGATAAAACTTAAAATTTTAAAAATTATGAAGTTTACTCAATTCTCAGTTTAATTAAAATTAATTATATATTAAGTTAGATTTTTATCACAAAATTTTTCTTATATCTTTTAGAATTGCAAGATGCTCTCACGTTATCTGAACAAACGAAAACGAATTTGGAGAGCGAACTTCGTGTATTTGAGTCGAACATGCAGAATTTGAATCAACAGATCGCGAGATCGGAAGAGAAAATATCGCAACTGTCATTGCAAAAGGAAAAACTGGTTAGTATATAAAGAATGATTGTTTGATGATTAATTATTAATTCATTAAATTATGTTATAATATAAATTATAACACATTAATTCATGATATAATTTTATTTGCAGGAATGTGATGTAGCTAACGCGATTAGTAGTTCCGCCGATTCATCGGAACAGCTATCGAAATATAACGAAGATCTGCGAAAAAAAGAGAAGGAGTTAGACGAAGCTCATGAGAAGATCTTCCATATCGAATCTACGTTGACTAAAACAGAGGGAAAGTTGTCCGATACCGAGACAGAATTAAATAAAAACGCAACGTTAATTGAGCAATTACGCTCGGAAAAATCAAATTTGGAATCGCAAATATGCGATGCTAAAAAATCAAATGCAGACTATGCGGAGAAAATACGCGAGTACGAACGAAATGAGATTGAATTATCGGCGAAGTTGAAGGAAAGTGAACATATTAAGACAAATTTGGAGAAAAACTCTGAGGAAATTGTCAATCTTACGGAAAAATTGACAAAAAAAGAAGAAGAGATCGCTAATCTTCGCAAGGAGCACAAAACCTTGCAAAATTCTCACGAAGAACAGGTATCCTCGTTCCAAAAACAAATCGCGGACTTGTCGAACGAATTAACGACTTCACGCGACGAAATAACAAATTTGCAAAAAATCAAAAATAAACTAGAGGCCGATCAAAGTGGAAATCTATGGTCAATCGAGGAATTAACGGAGAAATTAAAAGCCGAATCGGATGCATCGTCAAATTTGAAGAATTTCATTCAAGAGAAAAGCTTGAAGCTTCAGGACACCGAAAACAAGTTGTCAGAATTGCAAAATATATACGACGCTTTGATTAACGATAAAGCGGCAGCCGATAAGAATTCAACCACATCTTTAAATACCATGACCAATGCGATAAAAGAATTGAACGGCAAATTAAAGGACGCTGAAAAAATGATTAAAGATAAGGCGGACGAAGTATCGAAGGCGAGAGCGGAGACGGAAAAGTCGCAAGCACAAATAGTCGAAATGGACGCTAAAATATCTTCCATGAAAGAAGAGCATATTCGTAATAATGAGGAACTGAAAAACGCACAAGAAATAGTCACGCAGAAACAAAGTGTAGTAAATGAATTGACTGAAGTCAAGGCTGCTTTGGAGAACTCAGTGAAATCCTTGGAAACTCAATTATCGAATTTGCACGAGGAATTAGACAAGAGAGAGAAGGTCCTGGTAGATATGGAAGTTAGAACAAAAGAATCGGAAACTTCTAAAAAGGAAGAAGTGTTAAAGCTACAAAATTCGTTGGACTGTGAGATTGCAGCAAAGCAGAAGGAGATCGAAGACATAAATAGGCATAATAAAGAGCTAGAAGAAAAATTGCGATCATCGCAAGACGCTGTAGACAAGCATAAAGTCGATTTAAATGATAAAGAGAACATTATCGATAAATTGAAGGCGCAAATGAAGGCTTTGGAGGATGCGCAAGTGGAAAAGATTAAAGCAGAACAACAGTCGCGAAATGAGGAAACCAAGTTGAAACAGAACGAATTAAGCGGAGCGAATAAGCGAATTCATGAGCTGCAGCATACGATAAACTCATTGGAGAAACAGCTAAAGGAACAGGCTGATCAGGCGAGAGCTATGGAAAATAATGAGAAGGAAGTGAAGAAAAATGTCCAGAACCTGCAGGAGAAGCTGAATGTCGCCAAGATAGAAGAGACGCGACTTCTGAACGAGCTAAGCCGATTGGAGAAGGAAAACAAGCAGGTCACCGCAAAATGGACGGAGGCGACAAATTTGAAGAATGCTTACGATGGATCGGGTGACATGAAACAAGAACACATTGTCGAAAAATTGCAGGAGGAGAACGATACTGCGAAGAGTCAGATAGATTTTTTGAACTCCGTGATAGTCGACATGCAACGTAAAAATGAAAGTCTGCTGTGTAAGATCGAGGTTCTCGAGATGGGAGTTCCCGCCAACGAGGCCGAGGATTATACTCGAAGCACCTTGGATAAGCGAGCGGCGGCGCCCCGTATGTTCTGTGATATTTGCGATCGGTTCGATCTACACGAGACGGAGGACTGTCCAAGACAGGCTCAGGATTTCTCGGATAGAGTTCCGGACAGAACGGCCAAGTCGAAGAAGCCACCCGTGGAGAGACCGTACTGCGAAAATTGCGAGATGTTTGGTCACGACACGCGCGACTGCGATGACGCCGAAACGTTTTAACGTTTTAACGTTACGTCCATGAATTCATTTTGTTTGCTTGCCAAAATGTCCCGCGTGTAGCTATAAAGAAATCTGTTTTAAATTTTACAGAGTATATATATATATATTTTTGTATGGCAGATTTTTCGATTATATTCTAAATCTCTGAGTATATATGAGTCTTCCCGCGCAAAACGTAAAACGCATAATACGTAACCATTAACACACTCTTAAAATATTGCAAGCAACTTTTATGCTCCCTCTAAATATGACGCGATCTTAATAAGATACTGTTTATTTACAAAATTTTCTGGACGTGTATAATTATCTTTATATTATTGCATTCAAAATTATATACTAGACACAACAAATTGATAATTATACTAAAATTTATTTTATAAATTATTTATTGTGTGTATTAATTGGATTAGCTCAGAAATTGTTTAATGTGTTGTCGCTGCTTTGGAATAGGAAACAGAAATAATTAGAATTTTCGATGTTAAAGATTCAAGAGAATGATTTGTTGTTAGTTTTATGTACATGTATTTACAGGGAGCATATATTTGTTTTTCAGCTTTAATATTTATTTTTTAACATCTCTGTGACGAGTTACGTGTAATTTTGTATATATTAGATATGTTCGAATTAATTTGTGTTATTCCTTTATTTAATATTTATTTCTACGGTTTTTTTGCGCACTTTAAGAAGACAGTTCCTGCTTGCTAATAAAAGGCACAATTTCGGGCATAAGAGAATCAATTTCGGCGCTCTTCTTCAATATCTTATGATATTCTCCATTGGGAGATTCTTTACAGTCTCTTCATCTAATAGGAAGAAAAAAAAGAAAGTAGAAAACAAACATATATATCTCGAATAATTTTAAAGTTGATTTAAAGAAATATTATGGCCTGCTATTGTCTTGCCTCTTTGTTAATGAGTCTTCTTAGGATGGAAAATATATTTTCTAAGTCGATTACATATATATATTGTTGAACATCCGATGCGTTGGAGATACCTAGTGCTTTGTAGATAAGAATAAACAAATTCTTCACGCGAAAATTGTAAATCTTTTATATATATATATATATGTATCGATCAATACACATAGGTCTTCTTGTCTCTATTTCAGAGAGATGTATATAAATATAAATTTTAAAATATATAAGAAAGAATACTTTTCCAAAGGGATAATATTGACTTGAGTTATAAATAATTTTCATTTGTTTTTTATCATTCTAGCCATTATGATATATACATATTCACATTATCAGTATATACGATTATTCAGTTGTTATATATTATATACATTCTATGTAGCACAAAGTGAAATCTATCAAAATCAAACTATTTATTGTAGAATTTATTCTTTATTAACTATCAGCTATAGCAGTATAAAATTAAAAAATTCGGTAAAAGCAGTCCACGATATAATTCAATTGATATTTATAAAATAAAATTGTATACACACAATCTGTGAAGTGAGTTTTATTAATAAACCTCCATGTGTGTGTGCTCATTTTTTTATATATTTCTTGTGTAATAATTCTTATAATATAATAATTTCTATTTATTCATTTTTATTTTTAATCTAAATAAATTGCAATAAAGGATGATTTTTCGTTGTAAAATATATCGTAAGAGAAAAATGCATCAGCCTCTCATTCTAAGGTACCGCAAAAGCGCCCATACATCGCTTCCGCTTACGGACCTGTCAAATGACAGTCACGTGGTTCTAAGGTACGCCTGACGTGACATATCAATGGAAGGAGTACGGAGTACGGTGGCCAAGATGGTGGACGATACGCTTCGTCGTTAAAGAGGTGAGAAGAGAATCAATCGCTCACTTCAATAATATTTCCCAGGAACATTTGCATGATTCGCGCGAACGTGAAGTGATTTACTTGTTATGTCCTCGTACACGTTCTCGCAGAAACTGTTCACGCCGACGCCACCGGATCGCGGCAGTTTTCCGCTGGATCATGACGGCCACTGCAAACGCACCATGATTAAGTATATGCGCTGCCTGGCCGAGAACCGAAATCAGAACGCGATGTGCCGCGACGTCGCCAAGGAATACCTCGGCTGCCGCATGGATCACGATCTGATGGCGCGCGAGGAATGGTCCAAGCTCGGCTTCGCCGACGAAACTGCCAAGTTGGCCAGCGAAACGTAACGCCGAGATCATCTCCGAGATATCCTTGCCTGTCTCTCTTCTCTTTTGACAGAAGAAAAGGGAAGTCGGGTGTTACCTGTATAATCCCTTCTTCAGAGATTCTACCACGAGATGCACACCCTTAGCCGATTAGTGTTCTTGGAACTTTATGTTCGATGTAAATTAGGGTACCAAGTAGTTGCGGAGTGATTTATAATCGAAATTAGTGTGTTCAGGCAAGAATATATGCACTGCCAGCCAGGTGTGATAAGGACTTTAAGCTTTCTCCACGCCAGTGTTGTTGCAAAATTTACCAAGAGATTGGAGAAGAGAGAACAATAAACAAAAAAACTGAATAATATTAAAAATTCATGTATGTAGCTTCCACATAAGGAGGAAGATTAAGTTAAATTAAGCTCGACTGACACTGAGTGAGCTTTCAAGCTTTAATGTAAAGGCATCCCCTCTATAGCTTGTTATGCGGTTGGATTCTGTTGCAACCCAAGTGGCCTAAGATATCGTATAGAGTAGAGAATATTCATATTTATCGTTAAAGGCAAAATTCTATCAGATTACGCACAGATTAATATATAGTTAAAAGTAACAAAGGGAAGGAAATATGGCAAGTACCTCCAGGAAGAAAGTATTGGTCGGTTGCACCGGTAGTGTAGCTACTATCAAGCTGCCACAGCTGGTGGAGATGCTGCGGCGAAATAATCTCGAGGTGAGAGTAGTCGTGACGGAGAGAGCCAAGCACTTCCTGAAAGATGCCCAATTGCCACCTGAAATTCAAGTACTGTCTGATACGGTGGAATGGGCTGCCTGGCAGGATCGAGGCGATCCAGTACTGCACATAGACCTGGTAAAGTGGGCTGACATATTCGTGATAGCGCCATTGGACGCCAATACCTTGGGCAAGATTGCCAGCGGAATATGCGACAATATCGTTACATGCGTTGCTCGCGCATGGGACCCTATGAAGCCGCTCCTCTTTTGCCCAGCTATGAACACCAAAATGTGGGAACATCCGATCACCATGCCGCAAGTGAGATGAAAAGAATGATATTAAGATATTAGAATAAAGAAAGAATCCTTTGCATATTGTTTGAACTAAAATATGCAAATTTAATTTGTCAAGAAAAAATTAATCCTTCAATTTCTTTCCTAAATGTTTTCTCTTGTCAAAAATTTTATACTTTATTTTCAAGCATAAATATAAATAAAAATGAATTTTTTTTTCTTCTTTATTTTTATGCAGTGAATGCAGAAAGTCATAAAGCTGAATTTTGTTTTTCAGGTAACGCTGCTCAAGTCCTGGGGCTACAAGGAGGTGCATTGCGTGTCCAAGACGCTGATGTGCGGCGATACGGGGATGGGCGCGATGGCCGAAGTGGACACGATTGTACAGTCGACCTTGCGAGCCTTGGCTCCTTCTTGGGATTCGTTGGATCCGCCTTTCTAGCATCGGCCAAGGTCATCCTCCTCGTGCGAGGCTCGTCGACGAGCACGCGAATATCGATGAGGATGTCCTGATCCAAGAACGTGTCGCATCGAGATCTCAAGAGACGCGCTATGATGCGATTCGAACATACGCTTAATATATAAAATACACGCCAATGTTGCTTATCTAACAGATTCAGGATTACGAGCCTAAGGACCACAAAAATTTCGGGCCATATACGAGTTATGTGATAAAATTTACGTATGCTTTACGTTTATCAATACAAATATCTGTCAATAAGTTTTCCTCGAATTATATCGTTTTTTTGTAAGGATTATATTTAAAAAAAATAATTTTTAAGATGAATCTTAAATTATTTGTTATATTCTTGAGGTAATGTTGTTAATTAGAAATCTGTAGAAATGAACACAAACGGTAAAATATGAATTTGAACGCATCATGGTCGTCATATCCCTTGCTCAACCTGGAATAAATCAATCTTACAGAGAGGAACAAGCGAGATAATCGTAAATTTATCTGTCCAGTTGCCGAAATGCCATATATAAAGAATGCTGTAAAGAAGACGATTCTGTGTTGACATATCCTAAGAGTTGATCGATAAGAGTTGATTTGCCAGAATGTATACATGCTTCTGTTGAATTATATGAACGATATAATATATGAACAAATAAATATATACAAGGTGTTCTCCTCTAGAAAAATTTCTTATAATTATAACATTTCCATGAAATATATGTATATATATATGTAAGAATCTGATTTAAAAATTTTTGGAAAATGGCGCGTTGAGTTTGTTCGGTAAAATCACTTTATTTCCGTATATACACATATAAAGCACGAACTTACAATATAAAATACATGTAGCATATAATCAGCACATTTTACATTAATTATCCCTTAAGTTTGGAATAAACAAAGGGAAGGATTTTTTCTCGTTTTATCTTTTCGGTTAAATTGCAAATAATATCGCTTCGATGCATTTCGTAATTTTTGTAACAAAGATATATTCAATCAGAAGACTCAACTAAAATCATCGAGTTAATCGATAACAAAGAAGTATAATAATAACGTTTGTATCGTTTGTCCCCGTATCGCTGCTGCACGCTTCACAAACACACGATACATTCTGCAACACGCACGACTTTATAACTATTATATATATATAACACGTATATAAATATATACAGGAGTGTATACATTTGGAAATATTTATATAAACTTCGCAAATGTATTTCGAGATTAATCTGAAAAATCGATGCTTTATAAAAATTTAAATAGTCATTTTTTCATTTTTAAAATTTTAAAAATAAGATTCTTGAGATCATTAAATCTTTGATTTAAAAAATTTTATCGAGTCAAAATTTAATAAAAATAAATGCGAAATAAGATTTTTTTATCTTTACTCCATTTTTTATTAAGTACTAGTTCTAATACCAAAATCATTGAAACTTTCAACTAAGAAAAAATTGATTTTGGATTAAGTAAATTGAAAGGCTGCACTCGCAAAATTCATACAAGCATTTCACTGATACACCGCACCGTATATTAAATCTGTAAGATTGTTTTTTACGCTACTCCCTTTTGATATTATGCCTAACTATTCGAAATATCGCGCGCGGTATTTAAATATCACAGTTTACAAAACTGGCGACACTGCGTTTTGCCTGTGTCCTCTTTCACTAAATTATGCGGTATTAATACAATATTACAATATTTATATAAAATACGTGCTCTTATCGGAATCGGCTATCTTATCTCACATCGAGAAAGAGTCCGAATAATAATAATCGCGTCACGATTACGGAGTTTCTTATTGATGACGCGTATTAATCTTTGAAATAACAAGAATCCTTCTATTTCGATTTAAAATCTCTGTAGCAAAAAAAGAATATCGAAAAATGTTGGATGGATTTATTTGGCAGTGGTAGTTTGTAATCGCAAGAATCGCGCGCAAGATTGTCTGTGAAATATCCTCAAGAATTAGTTTTCTTTCGAGAATCAATCGTTCGTCCATCGTGCAATATAAATTATATGATAAATTAATTACTTGATTTATGTATAAATGCGGCCATATAAAAAGACGGTATAGAAAAATGCTCAAAAATATGCGCAGCTCAGGGGCGCAATTTTTTTTAGGAAATGTTAGTATCGATATGATGACATAGACCTAAGTCACACGCTTCTCTTTTGTGAGAGGACAAAATTTTATTTATCGATATAAATATTATATTTATCAGTGATATAAAAATATGTACATACAGAAAATCTAGCTGTGTGAAAAACTTCCATCATTTTCATTTCATGTAACATCGTATCACAGTATTCCATGATTCATCAGCTTTTTAAAAAAATATCTTCTCAAAAGTGAAGCTTTATCGTGACTTAGTTCGATATCATTCTTCGAGTTTTGTTCGAATCGTAATTGCGATTTTTTCATTGGTAGGATCGGCGAGGAAATCGATGTGTTGTGAAATCAAAACGCAAGTTTTGAATTTCGATCGTAATATTTCATTTTCAACTGCATCGTCAATTTGCATCGACGTTCCCACCTTCGAATTCTGATGTTCGTGTTATGCGAAATTCCTGTTTCCGAATACCGTTCGTCGGCTAGAACACGTGTATTACAGCAATAATCTGAAAACACAAGACAAAAAACAAATATAGTAGTAGGGCTTTTTCATTTAAAAAATATTTATATATATATATAATTTAAATATTTTTAAATTATAATAGCCTGCTAACTTCTATGCGATAAAATTCTATGTGTAAAATATTACGTATATAACGTCATAATTTTAATTTTAATATAATGATGATATTTTAAATATACGATCTAATGATATTTATGCATTTTATGATATCTATAAAAAATCCGTTTGAATTAATGCTAATATTAAATAATATTGTATTTAATGTTATAATCGTCATTTCAAAAGTTCTTTTTTTAAATTATGAAAAATCTTATTTAAAATATTATCTTTTGCTTCGAAAAATTAATGAAGTGCAATCATTTTTTAATTATTTCATTTTCAAACGTACATTATTCTTGTGACGACGATCGCAATGATCATGCGCATTGTGAAATTCGGCATGATTCTTCCCGCGGAGGCAGCGGAAACTGAAAGGATCGCCGACTTTCTAGGCAGATTGGTTTCTACATCATTGGTCTCCACTTCCGGTGGAGGGCAACCCATCCAGACTGGCGCCGAAAGTTTCTGCTTCTCGTGTACCACTCTCATCCTGAGATCGTCAAACTCCCAAAACCTTTACCCTTAAAGAAGTACGTCTTGCCTGTTGAAAAAATGAAACCGTAGAATTATATAATAGGTTACATGAAGAATTATTTGTAAAAAAGATATTTAAAAAAGATACATATAAAAATTAAAAAGAAAATAAAATTATATTAAAAATATGCACAGATATTTTTAAAAATTAAAATAATTATAATAAATTTATTTTGAATAATTGATGAAAAATTGAGTTTGAAGATTTACCATTTTTCCATTGGAAAACGGCATCAATGTCATTCCCGACGCCAGCGAACATGCTCATGTCTCTTGGGTAATCGAGTTCCACGTAATTAACAGATTCATCGAACCTACATGACAGGGAATTAAATTGGAGAATTGAATTTTATTCGAGAATTAAAAGCGGAAGGAAAAATGCAAATCGGATTGCATGTATTGATGTTTAAAATTAACTACAATATATATCTAGAATGCATCAAGAATGTGTCAAATGTAATTTCGATATAGATTAACATCTTTTTTCAGGCATACATTGTTAGAAAATTGAAAAATTTGGAAAAATCACATAGAAAAGAAAAAAAATATAAATTTAATTTTAAAAATTTTAGAAAAATCACGCTTTAATTACCTCCAATACATGGAACCGCTAAAGAAGTAAGTTCTGCCATTGTGACCCCACACCATGGCGCCATCGATCTTCTCCAAGGAGGCTGGCAATCCTAGATGCGTCAATGGTTTCGGATAACCCGGCTCCAGATGATTGGCATTAAAAACGTAGTATTCACGACCGATGAAAAAGACTATCTTTTTGTCTGGACGTTCATACACGGCATCGACGTGATCGGTGCTTGGTGGCAAGTTGAACAGCCTGATGATTTCCGCTGGATACCCCTCGTAGATTCCTTTATCGCCTATTCGCCACAAATACTGCGGGCCAAAAGAGAATTCTTCAGTAGAGATTGTCTTTTTTTAGGGTATCTTATTTTGCTTTAGTAATCACAAATATATTTAACTTTCTCTTTAAAATTTTCTCTGTTATTTATTTTTTTTAATTTGCTTATTGCTTACCCGTCCTTTGAAGATGAAGACTTCCCTGCGAATGATGCTGATGGCATCGTAGCTGGTGTCACATTTGTCGGGCACGTCGTTTCGTTGCGGTGGGGTCCATCGATGCCTGAACCTCGACGTAGGCCTCATCGTCGTCGTTGTCGTCGTTGACGTCGACCATGTCACGTGATGACGATGGGTTTTATGCCGATAGTCGGGTTTTTGCGGATAATGACCCGGTTGTCGGGGCCTGCCATCGTCCGGATAATGATTAGGCCTGGTAGGCCTCGTCCTCCAGGGTCTGTACGTCGTCGTGATTGTCGTCGTCGTTGTCGTTGTCGTTGAGGGTGGTGGTCGCTCCGGTGGTAGCGGACCACCCGGTATGTTGGCCCATAGCTTACCCTCGGGAGCACCTGAAAAACAATCATTTGTTTCGTTCATTTTTTTATTTGCTCTCGTTTATTTAATATACATACACCAGAACAACACAAGTGCGCGCTATTTCTTCGATTTTATTATTAAAAATAATATAAAGTTTATTTAAACTCGATTAATATTTTCTGACAGAAATCAGCTGATAAATTTGCTAATTAAATTTTAAAATAATATACCTAAAAAAAAAAATAAAATAGTAATATGCTGTAAATAATATATTATATCTTATCCTGATTAACATTTTTTGACAGTTACCAGCTGATTACTCAAAAATATTAATCGAGTTTAAAGTATTAAAGCATATTATTTAAAACATATTGTTATTTTAATTTTTATAACATCTTATTATTTTAAAATATAATTAGCAAATTAACGTTTTAATCAGCTGTTTTCTATCAAAAAATACTAATAAAGCGTTAATATCTTATCCGCGATTAATATTTTCTGACAGGAATCAGCTGATAACTGTCAAAAATATTATTCCAGTTCCAAATAAATATTATTTTATAGTTTTGTATTTTACGTTAAGTAACAAGGCATATTTAAGTAAGTATAATTCTATATTGTGATCTAATTCTAATAATGTTATAAATTACTGTAATTGTGCGACGTACATTTTAGAAAAATCAAATACAACGATTCGTAAAATTCGTACAATTAATGTAAAAGGAAAGTTTCGTTTTTCCAGAAAAATTTTGCAGACCGATGATAAATGGACTGGTAGCACAATGCGATATGGACGAAGTTGCTTATTGGCGCGAATACATTGACGGACGTATTCCAGATCGATTCATTCGAGGGGTGAGTACGCGAATAGCGCCCACGTTAATGCGAAAAAAAGCAAAAAAAGCCAATTCTGTTCTTTTGCATTTTTGCGCGCGATGAATTCATCTCCTCGTCTTTCACGATGACCGACTATCCGTGAAAAGAAATCCTGTCATAGACGATCGATATAGAAATATGATCATGTACAAGCTGTATAGAAATATGTCCATATAAAGCATACACCGATTATAAAAGAAAATTTTTTAAATATTATATTTATACTAATCACAATCCGATATTGCGCGGTAAAATATTTTCATCAATAGATGCAAATAGTATAGTCATTACAACGTATCGTTATTAAAAAAAAAATATTTGTAAAAATTTATAACAGATATATGAACAAAAATGTTTTAATAATATGTGCAAAAAGAAAAAGATGTTTCTCTTTCTCTCTGTCAACTTTTCTTCTTACAACAAACAGTATTGAATAATAATGAGCATAAAATGATTTTTTTTATTTAGAAAAAAAAAGATTTTAAGGTGCTTTAATTAAATTGGACAGATTACAAAAATTGTATTAAATTTCTGTTTAACAGATTTTTTACACTGTAATTACAATTTTAGTTTATCTATAGCATCATCGTCATTTTAATCAATTTGTCGAAACCATTTGCCAATTTCGGACAAGTGCGTTTTCTCGGCAAACGATTAAATAAAATGCATTTGCGATTCATCGAGTGGCTATTGACTTTCGCTGATATACGGGCATTATTTTACTTTGTGTGATTGGCAGTGGATATAGGAAGCACAAGCAACGAGGGAGATTTTAAAATGCCTCTCGCTTTTAAAGTGCGTAGAAGTTGATTTTGCGCCGCAGTTTCCGGGGTTTACTCTCGGGAAATTGAGTTTTTCCGATATTACATATACATATTATGCAATCGTATATTTTCAGTGCTTTGCCAAATACAATTTTTTTTTCTCGTCTCTTAAAGTCAAATCTACGTCATTCCGTGCGAATCGAATCTAAAAAGCAAGTTTAGGGATGCAATAATAATTATTGCATTTTTATTTATTATTTTATAGACAATAACACAAGCGCGTGCACCATTATTCGATTTTATATATGTATGTGTATACACATAATTATTTTAATTATTTTCAATAATTATAATTTTATTTAATTTAATTTTAAACAACTGTCAAATTGTTAAACCTCGTGATGATAGCTGCTCGATTTTAATCCCTTAATTATTTTGAGGATTAAGGAGTGTATACAGGATGTCCCAGACCTACCGTATAACACGTTAATGAGAGATTCCTGAGGCGATTTGGAGACGATTTTTCCTCAGCGAAAATGTCGAGAAAGGTCATCATTTTTTTAATATTCCCAATTTTTGAAATCATGTATCTTTGTAACTAAGCCTTAAATTAAAATTCCATTAAAGTAAACTTTACCTGAAATTAACTAAAAAATGTAGTTTTGTTAATAATTTATTTTTACAAGGCTTAGTTTACAAAAAGGCTTTTATTTTCAATCATTTTTAACTCAAAGATTATTGGTGCCTGGACATTTTTGTTGAGGAAAAATCGTCTCCAAATCGTCTCAGAAATCTCCCATTAACGTGTTATACGGTAGGTCTGGGACACCCTGTATATATTTGACAAAAAGTAAACGTGACACGAGTTTTGAGATTTAAATACATATACACATAAAAATAGATAATAAAATTAGATTATAATATATTATACGATAATATACTAATATAATAAGACAAGACACACAATTAACATTTTTGCACACATGTGTTTAAATAATAAAGAGGAAACGGAAAGAGATATTTAAATATATATAAACGGTATAACTTATGCTCGACGTTGCACTTACATTCGAGGAAAAAATATCGCACTGAAGCAGTAGAAATATTTTACAGAATCAAATTGCTGTTGTAGAGCGATAAATCTTCGATGATACGTGCGAGCGTGTTACGAGATCAACATTCGCACTTTCGGTTATATTCGGTTTTATCGCACTCATGATGCGTTTTATATTCTCTCTTTTTGCCTTTCTCGATGAAGTTCACATATCACGTACTACTTCGGGAAAATCGCTCGATTAATTCCGCGGTTGCGATGAGCGAAAATCGGATTAATAGCACAAAATTACGAGTGCGTTCACGAGTACTAAATCGCATGTTCTTCTTTCTCGTAACATGCGGGCGCAATGACGAATGCGCTTAATTTATCCCATATAATACGTGAAATATGTTATGCTCATATAATTCTGCATACACATCGGTATGCTAAAATTTATGTTACTGATCGTTGAAGAGAAATGATATTTAAATACATTTGCGCAGTTTGGGTTGTCAAATAGACGTAGCGATTACAGATAAAACAATGAAGTCGTAATATAATGCACACAACCGGCATAAGTTAAATGTAATAAAACAAGGAATAATAGAGATATATATATAAATGTGATTCATTTAAATTTTAAATTATTAAATTCAAAACTGTAATTTTAATAGATATATCTAATAAATATAAAAAAGAGAAATAATACAATATCTAATAAAGATAATACTTTGTATCTTTGTATGTGCGCCAGAAAAGAATGTTTTTTTTGTATTAGAAAATAAATGTAAAATATAAAAATTATATAAAAATAATTGGAAAAATTTTACAGCTTTTTGTTTCGTAATTTATTGTTAAATTTGCGACTTATTAAATTTAACAAATTGAAATGTATATGTAAAAGAAATTGGAGAAAGAAATGAGATAATGTGTAATAACATTAAAAAAAATACGCTTCTTATGTTTCTTTCAAAATATTTATAAAATATATAAGAAGTAAGTATCAAGAAAGATATATAAAAGATTTTTGAATTCATAAAAATTATTATTTTTATACACAGAGAGAATTTTCTCTTATAATACTAAAAATATTAATATCTGCCACAATAAGATATAAAATATGTTCGATTAATTTTACTATGCACCTAGTAAATTTGACTATTTTATTTTTTATTGTGGTAAATATTAATCAGAGAAACTCTTGTAAAATTCTTGCAATACTGTCTTACGATTACCATGATTTTCAGGGTAAATTCTAAGAGAAAATTCTCTCCGTGTAGAAACAGGAAACAGACTGTTATTTTCTATCGAAAGAATGCGAAGTTTGAAAAAACTCGAATCTGGATGATTTTTTGCGAGACTCTGACATGTCCCTAGTATACTATTTGCATAGAAATCCGAACTCGACCGGGGCTTATCGAATAGCATATGATAACCCGTACGACGTTACCGCACGGTTCTGCAGCCAAATGATAATTAATATTCGCCAGTGACCTACCAATTAGTGTAATCTGGACTGTGGATGAGAGAGAGAAAGAGAAAGACAGGAGGAAGCAGGAGAGACAAGGGAAGGAAAACCGCCAGTTCCTGAACCTCGAATCTAATCTCGATTCCCGACCGATGCAATTACAATGACGCGTTCGATAATTGCCTTCGCACCCTCCAATATTCTAACTGTCTCTCTCGATCTGGTAGCTTTTCTATCGGCCGCAAGCGATCTTGCCGCCACACCGTGTAATTTCCGATCGTAATAATAAGGAAGTCAGTCACGTCGTCATTAACTCCTGATTTTATTATCTTAACGTGGAAAAGCAATATAATCATATAATAATTTCTTAAGATGTTTCAGTATTTTTAATCGCTTAATATCTTTAATAATTTAATTTTAATCAGAATAAAGAGGGTTACATCACAGAAAAAACAGTATCCTTGAAAGAATGCAAATATGCTTTGATTCAAGTATATTTTATCCTTATAATAGCGTCAAATATAAATAATTTTGGATAAAGGATAATTTATCCTTGAAACAAAGTGCAAAATATTCTTGGTTGAAGCTGAAATTTACTTATAAATATTGCAAGGACAAGTGAGCATCGGATATAACCAATACTTTCAAATATATATAATAATTCTTAGTTCAAATGTGACTAAGTTTGTTTTTACCATATGCGATTTTTAAAACAAGAATATATCTTAAGGATAAAATATACTTCACACAAACTTATTTATTATTAAGGCAAATAAAAATGTTTGATTATAAAGAGCATTCTATGCTTAAATCAATCAAATAGCGTTCAAGAATAAAAATATACTTGAATCAAGGATTCTTTTTTCTGTGATTACGCGCATCTTTAAT